TGAGCTGGGATTTTTCGAACTTCTTCTGCACAGCAGTGGAGTTTCACCCATAGTTTCACAGGTCCATGCCTTGTTTTTGTGTGGCTTTTGCTCCAGCTCCACACCAACAGCCGAACTGTTAAATGGCTTGCCGATCGTGATATCCGGGTGGCAATGACACAATGGAGAAGCTCGTGCACTTCTCACTCGAGAACGTCATGCTCATGGAGCCCCCGTCCCAACAGGCAATCAGCCTGGTTGGAGCGGCTGGCAAGAACCAAGTGGAAAGGCATTGATCTACATTGTAAAGGTAAGCTATTGGATACAATTTTTTTCCCTTTTTCTTTTATGTTTGAGATTTAGGAATGTGTGGAAGAGATGGACATTATTTTGAGAGAATCTTGGAGAAAACTTTGAAATACCATACTCTGAGTAAATAATGTCAAATGCAATTCAACCCATTTGAAGTCAATACTAATGTATTGACACAATACCATCTACTTTGAAGGAAAACTAAATCTCTTAAAGATTCAGATCTACAGTGCCCAGGTTCCTCAGAATGAGTCAAGAATTAAAAATCTATTCTATGCTAAAGGAATATAATTTGAAAATTTGTATTTAATACAATAAAATAACTGTACTTTTAATATGAGGTAAAGATGTTTTGAAGTTTTATTCAGATATACCATGTCTAGAAATTTTTCTCAATCTCTTATTGAGATTAGTATGGAAAAAATGTCAATTTATTTACATATAATTTCCACTTATGAGTATTATTAGTTTTATATATATATATATATATATATATATATATATATATGAATAATAATTGTTGAGTGTGCCACCTCAAGAAAGTTGCCGAAGACCTCTCAACCTGATTCTCTGTTGATGATGACTATCTGCTCATCACAGGAATTAGAAGCTAAAACTCTCTAGATGGATTCAGGGACTTCAATGCACATCGCAGCTCTCAGGTCTGCCTTCCACACTTACACAGCGTTGAAGACCTTGAAATAAGTGTACATGGGGAACAAGAGAGGCCTCATAGTTTTTGGGCATGGAATAGTGGTCATCAAGCTTCCGGATAGCTCACGCAAATGCCTCGAGAGGATGTTCAGTAGCTGGTCAAATAGTTCTTTCTGTTGGCATAGCATCAGACCCAGGCTTCTCAACTTTCTTCTTCGCTACTAGCTGCACCATCTTTGGAACAGATGGTGATCTAGTGGCTAACGGCATCTGGTATGACACTCTACCATCTTAATGTAGAATTGGTGTTTCCTTCAGCTTTTGAGAGGCAGCTCCTCCCTCAGCAAAATGGCGTTGCCGAGCACGCCAATAGAACTCTTGAGGAGAACACACGCTGTATGCTTCAACACTCTGAACTTTCTCATGTGTCTGGGGAGAAGCGCATAAAATTTTGGGTGTGTGGCATATGCCCACATTCCTGATGTACACAAGAAACTTGATCCCAAGAGAAGGAAATGCTTCTTCCTGGGGTACCATGATTAGATGAAGGCTTACAAGCTTTACAACTTTGATTGCCAAAAGCTCATGAGCCCAATGGCAAGGTATAACTTGGGGATCAATCAAGGAAAAATCCCTTGTGAAATTTGAGATCAAATTTGATGAAGAAAGATTAAGATCTCTCTAGGCTGTCGAAGTTATACAAGGTTGTGAATGAGAAATTCCTGATTAGAAACCAAATTCTTTACTTTCAAGGAAATGTTCAAAATCTTGGCCCAGAAATGTAACAAAGCTTTGATGAAATTCGTCAGGGTATATGAACAAAGTACCCCACTGCCTCTTTCTCATTTTGACTAGGTGGTGGATCTTTCACTTATCTTGGACGACATTCCTGAGCCCCTAGCACTGCCCATTTCCCTAGTAATCAAGGAGGGGTCCTTATCAATCCAGCCGCCATACCTAGTGGCTTCGTCAGGATATCGGCCACCATCGATTGGAAAAACACTCTGATTTCTTCCGGCCAGGAACATCTCGTCAATCTGCCACACCTGGATCGATCACTACTCCTGCAAGCCTACGCAATTCCACCAGAATCCACCCCACCGGAGTTCCAGACCGAGACTCTGCCCTCTCCCGACTCCAGCTATGTGGAGTGAGTATTCCTCTCCTTCATAAGCAGCAGCATTCGATCGCTGCTAGAGAGCGAAAACACCGCGGCTTGATTCGAAATGCTGGCAGCTCACCTCTGGATCGCGATCACCTGCGCTAGAACCGACCTCTCGGTTCTTCAACCGCATGAAGAAACAAAGCAAGGGTTCGCGGTGGATGGGAGAAAACATTTCTTTCCTCGGCTTTCCAATGGATTTCATGGTAATGTAATCTTTGTTGCAACCGCTTCCTCCACCGTTGAGCAGCTGCTGGCAGGACCGATTGACCGTGCTGTGAATATCATCCAAGAAGCCAAGGGCAAGATCACGCACCAACACATGCTATCCACAGTGGCATGGATTGCATCTGGCGAGAGCCCGCTAGAGATCTCGCTCTCCTTCCACCGCTCGGATCTCATGATCTCGAGCTGGCAGCGATTGGAGATGGCTGGCACGGATTTCGGAAGCGGCAAGCCGGCATTCGTTAGAACCAATGGAATTCCATGGGCTGGAGCAGCCACCGTTTGTCCCGAGCTCGAGGGAAACAACGCCTTGTCGTCAACACAATGCTCAAGCACGACCTGTTCTTTGCAGAGATCCCAGACTCCTCCCGCGTAAGACGTGGCACAATAGCAAATAAAGCATATTCCCCCATCGTCAAGAATATTTTCGAGCAATAATAACAATAGCGAGGACAAAAATCTCGATCAGCAATGAAAATAACTTCCAAAGTCCAATGAGAGATCATAGCAGCCACCAGCCCGGCGCACGCATCGACACTGAGATTAACTGAATATTTTAAGAATATTGGCTGTTTGACTGCTACTATGACTCCGTCCAGTTTTTCAAATTTCCCTTGGGATTGATTGTCGAGGGGCGATCCCGAACGAGCACGTATTCAAAACATGCCACTGCAAAAAGAATAGAGAAAGATTCAGACAAGATTCCTTGCCGCTACGAGAACTTGAGAGAATTTTCTTACCGCAACCAATGGTTCTTTCTTGGAATGCAAAGCTATATCCCATTGCGTCAATGTCTCTCACCAAATCGATGATAGTTTTCACCCAATCTTTGGAGTGCTTGCTCGTTCTTGGATACTCCCAAGTGTGGAGCTCCACTAGAATATGATCCGGGAGAAATTCCTAGCGATTCGGGTAAAAAGACTTGAAAGAAAAGGAGGGATTGTGGGATACCTCAGGTGCTCACTTCAAGCTCTCGAAAACTTCATACTCTCCATGCTCGATATCCATCTTGAGCAAGGTCAAGCCCGACACACCGAGCTCTCGGACGATGGTATTCAATCGCTTGAAAGTTTTTCCACTCTCATCGATTCGATCCTCGCCACCAAGGCACCAGGTATGGAATTGCGTGTGAGGGTTAGACCACTCGCCAGTGCAATCGAAAGTGTGGATCTCACACTGCCCCGGCCCGGTGCTACGGACGATCGCCTCCTCGAAGTCGAATTGATTGTTGCTCCCCATGGAGAAGACGACGCATTTGGATCCAGTGACGCGAATTGGGCCACAGATCCACTTGCCGCCATCGTTGGGCCCTCCAATCCGGCGCAGGTGTTGGAATCGCAGCCATAGGTGGGCGTGATGAGATCGAAGATCTGCCAGTGTTGCTGGGGCTGGAATCGCTCCAGATGGCTGGTGGGCATGGCGTAGATCCTGTCCAGCACAGCCAGGAATTGGCGGCGGCGAAGATCGTTCCAGCATTCTTGAATCGTTTCGCCGTTTGAAGAAGGGGGCAGCGTGAGGCAATCGATGTCGGCGAGCTTCCCGAGCTGCTTGGTCGATCCGGTTCGATCGTTGGAGAGCTTGATCATCGAAATCTTGGCTTCGAGCTTGATCCGGCTCGATCTGGAGAGGATCCAAGTGGGCTCATAGGGGAATGGGCGACGGTGATGGACCTCCTGCTACCGCGGCAGATCGAGACAAGCGCCGTGAGCAGCAAGCTGCCCGAGATCGAGGTAACGAGCAGCATCAGCCATGATCGCATCGATCGAATCTGGGGCATTTCTTTGCCTACGATCCGGAAGCTCGCTGGAGTGATCAACACAGTTATATAACTACACAAAAGCAGAGAATATACTCCTCTCACTTATCAGAGTAAAAGACGAAGGTAAATTTCTTGCATCGAGTGGAGACCAGGGAAACCGTGAAAGTCGAGAAATGGGAATGAAAACGCTGGTGGATGGGCGACGAAGATCAAACGGGTAAAAATCTTTGGCGCGAAGAACATCCATTTCGCCCTAAATTTTGAAATCGCACTGGCGGTTAAGAGCCTTATCCATTTTAAAAAATTTTCCCACTCTTTTTATTTTTTCCTAGTCCAAGGAGAATGGAGCTCCTCTCGCGAGCGCTGCTGATCTTGCTCGCGATGCTCCTCTTGCTGCTCGCGCTGGAGTGGAATCTCGACTGGAAGCATCTCGGATCGGCGCCGGGCGGCCACTACTGCATCGAGGAGAAGCTCGCGGCGGCGGGACGCGATTCTTCCTGGGATTTCGGGCTGCTCGGCGTGCCGCACTGCAAGTAAGCGCCGGGATCGTGACCGATCCGGTCGAAATCCTTGATAATCTCGCTCCATCGATCGCATCTATAGGTCCAAGAAAGAAGTGGCATGGAGCAAGAGCGAGCTTCTCTTGGCGCTCAGGGATTTCATCCCCCTCTACGAGTCGCGGCCGATCAAGCAGTACCAGAGGGGAGTCTTGGGGCTGGATCATTCCTTCGGCCTCTGGTTCTTGGCGCGGCGGCTCCAGCCGGAGAGTATCATCGAGAGCGGCGGGCACCGGGGCCACTCGACGTGGATCCTGCGCCGGGCCGTGCCAGATGCACGGATCATCGCGCTGGGCACGGAGCATCCATCATACGTCCACGCCAACACGATCTACGTGACGAGAGACAACGATTTCGGGAATCTCGACTGGGACAATCTTCTCAATCCAAGCGTCCGCAAGACCAAGATCCTGCTCGTCTTCGATGATCACCAGAACCAATTCAAGAGGTATGCCAGTCGTGTCTTCCCTCTGATTCTCGCTTTCCTTCTACTATAGAGTGCTCCAAGCGAAGAACGCTGGCTTCCAGCATCTCATCTTTGCGAATAACTCCGACACTGGCTCCGGGGAGGCGTACTCTCTCCGACAAGTCTGCGACCAGCAAAGCACGGGTAACCAGCAAATCCATCGATCATTCCATCGTTCTTACTTTTGCTTCTTGTGATCACACCGGACGATCGTCACGATCATCCAGGTGGTGGCCACAATTGCTCGATCGACAGCCGCGAGGCCGCAGCGAGATCCCAGCGCAAGAAATCCTGGGACCGTGCCATCGAGATCTCGGAGATTTGCAGCAGCAAAGGAGAGTGGTGGGGTGTCCGGGGCCAGATGCGCGACAAGCCCGATCGCGCCAGCGTCTACATCACTCACCGGGATCATGCCAGCAACCACGGGATCTTCGAATCCATGCTACAGACTTACTGGGAGCTCCCGCCAGTGGCAAGCCCCGGATTGAGCAAGCAGCGCTCATACGATCCCGCGAGAACTCCGCCGCCACTCCTGGGTGACGAGGACAGCGTAGTGTTCGACGCCATGGGCCTCTCCCAGCTCGAGCCATGGCAGTTTGGCGATTACTCCCAGCTGGTCTACGTCCGCCTCGATGGATGATGGATGATCCAAGCAGTTCAGCCAGCCAGATTTTCTCGTCGATCGCAACCCAGGGAGAGCTACCGGATCACTCACTTGAGGGGGCAGTAGAGATCGATCCAAGACTTGGGCGAGTAGCCTCGTTTCATCTTCTTGATCTCCAGCGACGATGGATACGCCTGCTTCTCCACCAGTTCACCATCGCCATCGATCACTGGGACGAGCAGCTCCTTCGAGAAGCGGCGGTAGATCACCTGGGGGTGCTCGTCATACTTCTTGGACAGCGTGAAGAGGCACGAGAAGCGGAGGTGGTAGTCCACGTATGGCTTGATCTCCTGGAAGTTGTCGCAGCACTGGAAGTAATCCAAGATCCCCCGCGCGACGTGAGCGTAGTAGTCCACAATCTCCTCGTCCTCCAGCTCCAGGAAATCCCAGCTCGCCTCGGCTCTTCCCAGGGTGTTGGCGAAGCCATAGCTGAAGAGGAGATCGTAGAGCTCTCTCTTGCCCGCGATGATCTTGGGCTTGCTACACTTGTAGAGCCGCGGCATTCGCTTCTCCAGATCCTCGTCCTCGTCCACCGCCGCCAGGTTCCTGTGCCGCCGCCGCCGCTGCTCCTCCCGGATCCCCGCGTCTTCGTCCTCCTCCGCCAGCGCCGATTCTCGCGATTTCTGGTGCCGCCATTTCTGGATCCGGGTGTGCCCTTGCAGCCGCTGGAATCACAATCGATGAAATGAAAGAAAATGCGAGGAAATATTTCTTGATCGCCACTCACCTCCCAGTAGCCCATGCCAGATTCTCGACCCGGCGCTGCGAATGTGGCCTCCAAATTCGCCAGGTATCCTCCCCGCCGCGCCTTGCCGCCCTGGATCGCAGCCTTGAACCACATCGATCAATCGATCGATCGTCCAAGAACCCTAAATCTTTTGCTTAAACCCTTTCTCTGTCCCCAAGAACCCTAGAAATATTTTGGGGCGCGCGGAGGCGGAGAAGCCATGGCTCCCGCGCTCGATGTGTCCGTTTCCTTCGACAATGTCCGCGACAAGAACATGATGCTGCTCAAGAAGCTCAATGCCGCGATCTTCCCTGTCAAGTATCAAGACAACTACTACACGGACGCGCTCGCGTCCGGCGATTTCACCAAGCTAGGTAAGCCTCCAAATCTCTTCTTTGGAGCTCTTCGACTAGATTCCTCTCGTTCTCTTTGGAATCATCGCAATTTTCTCCTACTTGCAGCGTACTATGGCGATATTTGCGTTGGAAACATTGCCTGTCGCGTGGAGAAGAAAGAAAGCGAAACGAAGATCTACATTATGACGCTGGGAGTTCTCGCTCCATACAGGAACCTGGGAATTGGTAAGATAGGAAGGATTTCCAAATTTCTTCTCTCTTTTCTCACTCTGGTAGCTCATGAATTTCTTCGTTTTCGTGTGAGATCCAGGAACCAAGCTGCTAAATTCCGTGCTGGATTTGTGTCAGCAAGACCCCAAGATCGTAGAGATCTACTTGCACGTCCAGATCAACAACGAGGAAGGCATCAACTTCTACCAGCGAGCCGGCTTCCAAATCGTGGACACGATCCAAAACTACTACAACCGGATCGACCCGCCGCACTGCCATGTCCTCTCCAAGAGCTTCGCGAAATCGAGCTAGCTAGCAACCTGTGAGAAAAGAGAAAAGATCACCCCATCAGAGGCACAAGGAGAAAAACGAGGTGAAAGTTTTGTTTGACACTCACGAGCTCTTGATCGGTATTCCTGGAGATGACTCCGATTCTTCGCTTGTCCTGGCGGCTCAAGCTAAACGCCACCACTCCTCCGCCACAAATCGCGAAGGCGATGGTGGCGAACACTCCCACCGTCACAGGCCGGCTAAACACCGTCCGCATGATCGGCATTTGCTCCGAGCGATTCGCCTGGCGGTAGCCAAACGATCGCAACCTCTCCTCCGCCTCGCCGCCGCCACCTCCGCCGCCGCTAGCAAAGTGGCTCGTGTTGATCTGGAGCTCCTCCTGTGGAGCCCTGTTTATAATTCGCTGGTACGCGGCCGAGAGGCGCTGGAATTCTCCGTGATTGTTGGGGCTCAAATCGGGATGGCTGCGAAAGAAAGAGAGAGAGATAGAGAAGAATGGATTACTCCGCTCCACCAGAAGAAAAAACTCTACCATTTCAAAGCTAAGCGCCTGTACGCCGCCTTGACCTCGCTCGCGCTCGCGCTCGGGGTCAATCCCAGCGCCTTGTACGCTGATCCCAGAGAGACACCCGCCTGATCCATAGAAAATCAAAATCTAGGTCGGCATTTTCTTCCACATTAGAGATTTAGGGTTCTTCGGAAACTTCTTCCGTACAACATCATGCGTATTTGCCGTACATAGCTCCAATGGGTTTTTATTGACGAAGAAAAATTCACAAATGCCGATCTGAGCCAAGTCCTCGAAAAAGCTTTAAAGAAAGAAAAAAATTTACCCAGTTCGAGTCGCGGTTATTTTCTCGTGTCCATTTTTATTTCCTTCTTATCGCCATCGCCAGAGCTCCACTATAGTAGCAAAGTCATGGGGTCCTCGATGTAGCCTTTGAACGCACCGAGCCAGTGCGCTCCAATTGCGCCTGACGAAATAGATCAATCCCTCGCTCAGATCTTGTGAATCGAACCGAAAGAAGAAAACGAAACTTACCATCCACAACTCTGTGATCACAGCTCAAAGTAGCAGACATGAATGTAGCCGCTGTGTACTCGCCATCGTTCTCACCAGGAATCACTCTCTTGTCAGCTACAAACAAAACGATCGAAGATATATCAAAGTTGGGAAATGGCGCCTGAGACGTTGAAAACTTACTCGTGCCGACGGCAAGAATGCACGACTGTGGCGGATTGATGATAGCACAAAATTGTTTGATACCAAATGGTCCACCCAAGTTCGAGACCGTGAACGTGCCACCCTGCGACACCAAGGGACTCATGAGCGTTTCAAGTATCATGCAAAGCAAACGCTTACATCGTAGTCACTAGGCTTCAGTGTGTTCTCCCTAGCCTTCTCCGCCAACGTTCTTACATCGTCCGAAATAGCTCCCAACCCTTTCTTATCAGCATCCTGGAATGGCGAGTAGAATGAGAAAAAGAGTAGAGAAAACTAAAGCGCAGCTTACCTTTACAACTGGAACCATCAAACCCCGCTCCGTTTGTACAGCAACGCTGATATTTATGTTGTGAAACCTGTAAAAACAGGAACAAAATGAGAAAAAAGAAATAGACCACCGGTAACGTTTGCACTTACTGCCTGATAAACTCGTCAGTCCACGAGCTATTACACTCTGGAACCTTCTTCAGCGCTAACGCCGCAGCCTAACATGAACTGCCTGATTAGCTGAGTGCAGGTAATACTACTGTGAAAAACTTACCTTCAAAACGAAATCGTTAACAGAAAGCTTTTTCCTTTTCTCCTTCTCCAGCTTGGCATTCAACTGAGTCCTTAGTCTGCATAAGCTCAGAGTATTAGCACCAAAAGGAAAAGAACAAAAAAGCGATCAGTAACGTACGCAAGGAGCTTGTCAACACGAACATCCACGGTCAAATAATAATGTGGAATCGTTTGCTTTGATTGAAGAAGGCGTTGAGCAATGACCTGAAACAGATGGAAGTTTAAATTTTCTATAAAAGATACCACTGTCGCTTACCCGTCTGATTTGTGTGTTTGGTAGATCCGTGTAGTCCAGCGAAGTAGAATCACCAGGCGTTTCAGCACGCCGAGGCTCTTGTACTTGCTGGCCACCTATAAAAACGACAATTAGAAGCTTTCCAATAGAACAAAATTGAATTTGTACTCACCTTTCAGGCCCTCTACATCCGCTCTGACGATCCGACCTCCAGGCCCCGTCCCCGCTACTCCTGATAGAGATATCTGAAAGATACCAATTAAGCAAGGAAAAGTGATACAACTTCTTACTTGGTTATCCTGAGCATACTTCCTAGCGTTGGGGCTGGCTATGATCCTATCACCAGATGCAGCTGGAGCAGGCTTGGGCGACGGAGCCGGTTTTGGGCTTTCTGTGGGTTTCGGTGGAGGAGGGCTTTCCTTGGGAGCGGGCTTCGGAGGTGCAGCAGGAGCGTCAGCTTTGTAGTCTTTAAACTTATCAATATCCCCTTGTTCTTCGACAGTTATGGCTATAATCTGGATGTTTTGCAAAGGCGACTCGGCTCAAGCCAGAAAGACGGACCAAATCAGCATACCTGTCCAACTTTTATGTCTTTTGCACCGTCCGAAAATACGATCTTAGCCAAGTAGCCGTCTTCCATGCATTCCATGTCAACTGTTGCTTTATCCTGAAATTTGCTGGTCAGGCATTCCAGAAAACAATCATCCCAATGAAAAGCTCTACCGTTTCAATTTCGCAAAGCACATCTCCGGCAGTAACCTTGTCACCCTCCTTTTTCTTCCATTTCACTATGTTTCCCTGTAAAGAAAACAGCCGCCTTTTCATACAAAAAAGCGATGGAAAAGAAAAGGAAAAGCCTACACACCTGTGTCATGGTTGGAGAAAGAGACGGCATTCCAAGAGGCTGATGCGAAGGCACTAGACAGGAAAAAAAAACATGATCAGTCAAGCATAGAATCGAGAGAAAAAGGAGCATACTATCAGCGTAGAAACGCCTCGAAACGTACTGTCCAGGCGGACCAAATCTAAAAACCATAGTTGACCTGGGACAAGCAAGAAAAAGAGAATCGAGTCACCGATCGCATTGCAATCGAGCTAGATCTGACCCTCACCTGAGATAATCCTGCGCCTCATGGTGATGATGTAACCACGAGGAGAAGCAGCGCATCCTCAATTCCCACACGCCGCCCTGATGCGATCCATTGGCCATACAGCTGCAATGCGAGAGGAGCCTCCGGCGCCCCACACCAACGGCGGCGCGCATGAGCGCCATCACCGCTGCGCTCTTCCCCAAACCCTAATCCTCCGATCGAAAGCGCCACAGCCTTGTTGCCTCTACTCGCGCATTTTCCTAAACCCTTCCACAAATCGCCGGATATAGCTTCCTCTTCCCTCTCTCTCTCTCTCTCTCTCTCTCCTCACACCTGTCCTGTCCTAAAAACCTAGTTTCTTGTCAAAACAGGGGAGCCCTAAACCCATTCTAGGGCTCTTGAGGGTTTTTGCGCCATGGCGCCGGCCGCTGGGAGCAAGAAGAAGACCAAGAGCAAGCGGTCCGGCGTTGGAATCGACTTCAAGGTAAGATTTCCCTGGAATTTCACGATGATCGGCCTGCATTTTCGTGGATTTTGTGTAGAAAGTGAAGCACAAGGTTGGTCGGAAGATCCCTGCTCCTCAGAACGCGACTAAGGTCGAGTTTAAGTCGAAGAGTGCGTTTCTTCTGTCCTCTATGCTCTTCATTTTGCTGCTAAAATCCAGAGGTTTGTGTCGACAGAGATTGTTTTGCACGAACAAAGTGTGAAGGTGGACAAGGATGGATTGGCTGTGAACCAGCGGAACAAAACGCTGAAAGAGCTTCTCAATCAGATTGCTCATTACAATGCGAGAGTCCGGAAAGGCAAGCTTTTCTCTCTTTTTTTTCTTCGATGAGTTGGTTTTATATGTCGTGGTTTTCCTGGCAGACGCTTTGATGGGAATAAAGGATTTGTTCTCGAGGCATCCCAAGGAGCTCGAATGCAATGCCATAACTACGATCCAGAAACTGACTTCTCGTTTTACTGATGGGGACAAAGCTGTGAGACATGCGTTATTGTTGGTGCTACGAGAAACATTTTCCAGCGTTTCGAAGGTATGAAACTGTTGAAGGTGCTGCGAGTTCTCAAAACAAAATTTTTCTTGTGCTACAGAGTGTTATGAAGCCCATTGTTTCCATAGTGATGGCTCACTTGGGGACTGCTATGACACATATGGCAAACGATATTCGTTTAGACGCGTTTGCCTTTCTCGATCTCTTGCTTCAGCACTATTCATCATTACTAATTCCTATGTACACTAGCCAGGTATGAGAGATTTCTCTTTTGATTCTCTTAACCCCCTTGATATTTAGATATTTGACCATTATAACCATTTCCTTGGTTTCGGTGGCTCGCATAACTTCGATCCAAATGCAACGCTTACGGTTGTAGGCAGCTTAACACGCGTCTTATCCGTTGTAAGCACTTCTGGCTCGTCCGACACAACTTGTACGATTGGAACGTGTCATAGGTGGTCGCAAAAGTACGACTTACAGACGCTGAGGCCGTTGCATGGGTACAACAGCATCGCTGCTGACATCTCAGAGAAATCTTTCGCTACAAGCTCTGTCGATTCTAGCGGTAAGATTCTTTGTCTTCATAATGCTTAAGTTGCATGTTCTAAGAGCAAACAAAACTGTTGTAGGTTCCGGCACGAAATGGATTGACATAAGCGCTTCATTAGTGGACGCCCTTCTAAAATGCTGGGCTGAACTGGCGCCAACCGTCTGCTCCAGTCCGTTGCCTGATGCCGTGAGCCTGGATTGCATGGTTTCAATAACCAGATGCCTATGTCTACTTTTTGAGTGGCTAGAACGCTCGCCGGAGAGTTGTCAGATGAAGATGGAGCTGAGACACAGGTTTCTTTTGCCATGCTCGAGTCGACTAATGGCCAGTTTTCCAATGTCAGCTCCTGCAGTTCGAACCATTGCCAAGGTTTGGGGCTGTTGGAGTATTGCTCGCATCATAACAACTTTCTTTCCAGATTGAAGAATGCTTGTGTGCACTCAATGCCGGGATATGCGAGACGATCTTGCACTTTGTTGTTGCTGGATTGCACGACTTCGATTTTACTAACGTCCTGCAGTATTACGAGGGTGCTTTGCTAGGAAAGGTTTGCGAATTTTGTTATTGTTTGTCATTTTTTTCTGATCTTCGGTGCCATTTTGTAGCTGCTGTCGTTGTCCCTGTTCTCGTTTTCTGCGAGCCACAACAAAGCATTGGATCCCTACATAAAATCCTTGCTAGCATTTGCTCCTCTTGTGTTTGACTATGCTGACATTAACTGGAAGTTCAAAGTGTTACAAGTCGGTAACGGTGAACTTATTTGTTTCGAAGACCAACCGTCTTGTCTTGCAGGCCATAACAAATGCTTTCGATCGCAGCACTCCAGAATCTAGTATTAAACTTGGATGCCTTACTGCAATGTCCAAAATTCTCCTTTCAGTACGTTCTTTCCCTCCCCCCTCTTTCTATTTTGTTATCGCTCTTATAAATTGATTTCACCAGGAAAGTCAGGACCGTAAAGAAACCCAAGCTCCCTCTGTTGCTGAGCAGTTCAGTAAGAAATGGCTGGTGTCATTTCCCAGGCTTCTTTGGGAGCTCAAGTGTAATCAACTTGCGTCTTCAAAGGTTTGTGTCAAGACGCCATTTAATCCCATTCGCATCGTAATGTTTCTCTTTCTTTTTTGCAGATTGTTCTAGAGATGCTACTCCGCCTTGGAAAGTTTGCAGTAGCTGGCTCTACTTTAGCAACAGATTTTGGAATGCTTCAATCGGCAATGATACCGTTTTTCTGCACTGTGTTGCCAGCCAAGGAAACGCCAGGTTCCGTTGCGTCTCCTAAATCTAGCAAAGAAACTAACTTTTCACATTCCAGACAAGTATTTGTACGGTCCGTTTATTAAGCTTCCTAGGGACTGCCAAGAGATTGCGGTCGACGTATTGTACTACTTCAGCGGCTTCCAACCTTTCTTTCTCAAAGCACTGTTAGCTTGCTGTCTGTGTAAGTGCGCATTATGGCTTACATCTTCTAACCTGGAAAACCTCGACTCGCAGCTCCGGACATGGATCTGCAAACTTTGGTCCGTTTGTTGGAAGTGGTGCGAGTGTCCTTTGTTCAAGGTCGGGTTGAAGTTGCAAACTTTTTCAGTTTCCTTCTTACGCTGGTGGTGGAGTGCTCGCATGCACACGGTAAATATCTCCTTTTTTCTTTTCGGGCAATTTCTAACTGCTGATACTCTTTTCAGAAACTGCTGAAGAGAGAAAGAAACACTGGATAATACTGGGTGTGGTGTCCCGTAGCCTATTCCAGATTGGAGATATCGACGTAGTTATGCATTTGTTGGCCAAGCCAATGTCCGAACATCTGGTGCGTAATTTTTCACACCTGTTGCTGTTTCTAACAGTCAATTACAGTCGGCTCGGCCTTCCCCAATGTTGTTAGCTAGTTCACTAAAAGTTCTGGCTACTCTGAGCCACGATGTGGAACATGTGGAGGTCCCTGAGTTGCTATTGAGCGTTCTGGTGGCGCAAACCGCGAGCTTTGCGGTTTCAAGACTTCTGGTATACACCCGCGTTTTATCATGTGTATGATAATATGAATTGCAGGCTAAAGACCAAATGGTGATGGTTATTGTTCGCAATGCGGTGGACTTAGTTTTCAAGAACAAGAGGTTTGCACAATCCTTGATGAAGGAATTAGCTCTGAATCTCTCAGGTTCGTTTGTTATGTTCTTCTGTCTTACGGCTGAGTGTCTATTCTCTTCAGGTGGCAAAGATCAAGTTTATGCTGTGGGAGTTTTGACGAACGAAATATGCAAGCAAAAAGCGATCCAGAAGCACCTCAAGTTTTCAGATGTTAGTGAGATATTTCGAGCAGTAAAGGTACGACTAGTATGAACTTTATGTTTCACATACACGTTGTTTTGTGTCGCAGACAATTTTGAAGGAGGCACGCATGGACCAAGCTAAGTCCAAGCAGCTTTTCCACTTAGAGATCAGCATCCGAGATGCGTTTGGATCGCAAGTCCTAGTTTAAGCTGTGGCAAAGAGCTCGGGTATTCCGTGGCTTTTGGGAATCCTGTGCTTGAGCTTTAATATTATCTGCCGCATCCTGGAAAGGTCAGTCGATTTTCGGGGCTTGGCGATGGCGGCATCAGTTTTTTTCTTCTCCACAGCCGGCTTGGTGGAGATTAGTTCTGAGACGGCACCCCAGTAATTTAGTGGTGCCCTCGCATGGAGCTCTTCTCGGGACTCCAACGATACCTGCATGAGGAAGAGAGGTCAGTTTAAAACATAAAATCTATCTTCTTGACGACCTTTTCCTTCTCACGATTTGCTTTTTTGCTAGCTTCGACTTCTGCGTTCCGTTTTGCAAAGAGCTCTCGTTTGTGCTCCTCGGCAGCGCAAAGAGTTTTTGCAAGCCTGTCCCTCTCGTCATTCTCCTTCGCTTCTAAAGCTTGCGCGTTTTTCCTGGCAAGAAACCGTAAGTGATTTTCTAAAAAGCTTCCTAGCGACTTACCTCTTCCATTCCAGGAATTTAAGATGCGATGGATCGAAGGTAGCTGTGGCGTTGCTGGTGCTGAAGATGTCCCGAGGATCATCAACGTCCTTTTTCTTTGTCTCGAGAAGATCGTGAAGCTCCTGAACGCCACTGATGGTGAAGGTCTTTTCGTTCAAGCCGCCGTCATCCTCGGCATCCCAGCGAGGATCAAGATCAAACGCCTCGGTGAAAGAAGCCGTCCGAATTGCCTCTACTTCTTCACTCACCTGGATCTTCTCCTCGTGCCTGTGCAACACGCTGATTGAAGGCGCTGCTCGCGACTGCTTCTCAAGGACAGCGTACGTATCTTCCATGCATACGCTCGCCACGGTTGTGACAGTGATGCTCTCAAAGCTGTGACAGGCAGACGGCGGTGCTCGTGGATCGAACTCGCCATCCATCGTAGCGTTTTCTACTCACTCAAACAGCTCCTCCTCCCGCGGCCAAAAAGAAAACTGAATGTCTTTCTTGGCATGTTGGGCGAGGGAGAAGCTGATTAACGATATTAAATGGAAAGATAAACAACAATGACTTAGTCCGTGGCATGTTCTTTGTTATGAAACCATTCTCCCTTGTCAGATGACAGTATAGCCTCGTAAATACGAGTATCCTTCTCGAGCATGCCCAGGTCCTCTTTAGTCAAGTTGGAGATCACCTTCTGGAAAGTGGATTCATCCATGAACCATATCCAAGCTGCCACCAGCCCAACTACAAAGTCGATGAGCTTTGACTCGGCACCAATAACCTCAGGGACAATCCCGGACAGGTCGATAGTGCTCTGCTTGTTCTTGAGTTTGCTGAAGTCCACCCTACTCAAAAACTTGTTCATGATATCTGACCTCGGAACGTTCATACTGAAGACTGTTCTAATAGGACCAGCAACTGATTCATATCCAGCGACAGCTTCAAGCTCGCCTCCATCTAATGACACCTGTCGCCTCTCAATGAAAATCCTGTGAAAGATATCTGCAGGATCAAAAGCATAGCTCCGGTAAACTCTCGGATTCCTCCACCACTCTAAGAATGTCCAGGCGGCTTTGGCTTTGATCATGTCGTCGCTTCCGTGAATAATGGATCTGATTAGATACTCGGATGCTTGCTTGGAAACTGCTTCACGAGGAAGGAAGCCCACTGGTGCTACTCTGACAATGTGGTCCAGGAATTTGATTACGTCACCGTCCACAACCGCCAAAGGAATTATTCCAAATTCTCGCACAGCTAATACGAAGTTGTGTAACTGACCTGGTGTTAATACAACCTTTGCTAGAATCTTGTTTGCAGTATGCCTTGCTCCTTCATGATATGATGTTTCGAGAACAATGAGCTGAATCATGCATTTGATACTTGCGAAGGTTCTAGCTTCATCAGGTATGTTCCAGCAAAGGAGCTCCAGTAAAGTCCCGTGATCGGAGCTGCATTCTTGGTCTTCATCCAAAAACCAATTGATGATGTAAGTGAAAAGATTTACACCTAATGCTTTACTGAATCCCTCTCTCATAAACGCCTCATGTACACGTGGGCCAACATGGACGGCAAGTATATGCGCTTCAGGGTCCTCCTCAATATTTATCAGCCACAACACGAGGGAGTCCCAACCCAGTAGTTTGACCGCCAAGAAAACTGATGACTCCACCAAAGTCAGAATGTAGAACAGCCTCATCCCATACACAAAGTTGGCCACCTGACCTGCATCCGACGACGAGATGCGTTTGTAGTCTCCTGACTCGAGCCGAGCAAGGGAGAAACCAAATGTTACAGCTGCACTACACACTTGGAGCCCATGGAATATCAGATGTATGGACAGGTCCTTTATCATTTTTGTCACCTCCATCCCATAGCGAATGCGACAACCTAGGAAAACGCAGTACAATGGAGAGGTAAGTATCCCTCCCCAGGTACTTTCCTGGAACCTAGCGGCTACTACGTAATCAACATTCTTGCTGACTAGGAACACTCGCACACCTTCTGAAAGCAGCAGACCAGAAATGAGCTTGAAATCGTAGGGCTTGAGCTGAGAGACATAACCCCCCAGCAAGACCACTGTGGCACCCACGAACGCTATTTGCCCTATGTATGTTGCACCCTGCTCCAAGGCTGCCAATACGAGAGCCACATATTTCACTTGCACTGACAGACTCACCAATCTCTGAGCTCTCGCTCTCAACTCAACGTCCATTTTTATTTTGGCCACTCTACAGCTATGTCACAGCTCACAGCGATGTACACCAACGCAATTACAAGCAGGGAGTTGGGAAGGTGTCGTAAACTAATATAGCACATGAAAGCACCATTCCCTTGAGTATGAGACAATGCAAGCAAAGCATAATGTAACAGGACAGTGCGGCTTGGAGTTTTGAGGGGAAAAAAAACACAAAACGTTTCCTGGGCATCTTATTTTACAAGGTTGCTGCTCAGCATTAGATACTTCACTAGTTTGAAATCTAGGCAAAGGAGATTCAAGGCTCAAAAGACTAGTTTGAAATGCAGGCAAAGCAGATTCAAGACTCACATCATCAACTATGTGTAATGAAAACATCAATTATGTTGACTAATACCATATAGATCTCAACATAGTCTTCGCAAAGACTGTTAGCTGGAAGGACGTGTAAGCTTTACAAGCCTTTATCGCATACCATCTTCTCTGGTTCAGCGCTTACGTTCCAGAGGAGTTCGAAACCCTTGAGAAGCTCTTCGAGTTCTCAAATATTTGGAGCAGTAAAAGTGTGAGCCAACGAAATGTCACAAGCGTATCACTCTCCATTGAGAATGATTTTGTAAATCACAGCGCTGTAAATGCCATCACCTGGGCTGGTTCTCGACTCTTCCACCTCGCGCAACTCCAGGTTGTGCTCAGATGCCTCGTTAAAGAATGCTCGATCAGTGCTGAAAAAAAGAAACAAAAGATTCAAGAAAACACAAAAAGAGAAGCGAAGTGACCTTTGTATGCGAGAGATGTAAGCAAGAAAAAACTTGCGGCAGTGGTGATGTTGCAAAAGCTTGTTGACAGTCCTGAGTAGCGGAGGAATGTTGCATTGCTGGTAGCGTGATAGGATCTGTTCAAGGAGAAACTTGGAGTCAAAAAGCTTCCATCAAAAGGATATAAATGTCGGCTCCAAGGATGTAGTCAAATCCCTCCGGATGCTTGTCAAGGATGAGAGAGAGCTGTTCTTCATTCCCCCACTCAAGCTTTTCACAGGCAATCCCTGCAATGAGGAAAAGAAAAAAAAACAAACGAGATCTCTCATATATCAGTGAGAAAGAACCCACGTGATAGCAACGCCGTGTCCTGCTGAAGCGCCACGTTTTTCCTCATGATCTAGCAGCGATCCCCAAACTTGTTTTAAGAAACCATGCATGAAAATTCCTGCCTTTAAAACGGTGTCATTGTGATCAGTCATGACGACTTGGCGGCAGCCAATCCTTCCACACAAAAGGCCAGTCACTCCTACAAACCATGAAAAAAAACAAGTGTTAGAAAAAAAAAAGAGAGAGAAAGAAGAGAAAACCATGCGAAGAACTTCATACCAACACCAGAGCCCAGCTCAATGATCGAAGCTCCTTGAAAAATTTGGCTATGATCCACAATGTAATTGAGGAGAAGCTCGGTGCCAGGCCAGATTATCTGGCCAGTGAGGTCGTAATCCGCTGCGAGCTATCGCATTGAAAGAGAGGAACCGAGAGAGAAAGAACACACTCACTGGAAGAGCATTGTAGGCTGAGCACAGGAATCTCGTGATGGCCGATGGAAATGCGCTGCTCAACGTAGCTAGCAGTGGATGATAGAATCGATTAAATCCTAGTAGCTTACTTCTCGTCCAGGAACAGCGATCCAATACCTCCTCCATAGTCGTCCTCGTCCATCGCATGAGCCCTAAGAGAATAAGAATCTTAGTAAAGCCCTAGGGGCTAGGGTTTATGAATGGCGGCAAGATTTGGATGCTCGCGCATTGCCCGGCTATCGCGCATTGCCCAGGTACCCAGCCGCGCCAGATCGATCGCCACGCTGCAGGTAGCTCAGGAATCTACCGAGGATGAGGGGGACGATCTTGCCGCTTGCTCCAATGCGGGCGTCTGGAGCTACAGGGATTTCGCGCAGATGCTCCACTCTTCCTCCTCTTCCAGTCATTCGATCGAGGCGGCGGTGGGCAGGCTACGCCGGGAAATCTCCACTGACGCCGTGGTGAAGATCTTCCAGTGCCTCAAGGACGCCGATCTCGCCTGGGAGCTCTTCCAGTGCCTCTCCTCCCCTCGATTCGGCTTCCAGCACAGCGTCCACACGGGGAACGCGCTCCTGGATGTGTTTGCCAGAACCAAGCGCCACAGGGAGGCCGGGAATCTCCTCAAGAACGAGCTCGCGACGACATTTCTGCCGGATGTGGAGACCTGGAACGTCCTCATCACCGGCTACTGCCTGGCTCGCGAGCCCGAGGAGGCATTCGCGGTTATTAGGGAGATGGAGGAGGATTACGGCGTGGCGCCGTCGCTCAAGACCCACAATCTCGTCCTCCACGGCCTGTGCAAGTCGGGCAAGGTCCTCGCGGCGATGGATCACTTCGAGACGGTGAGGAGATCCATGCCGGTGAGTGCTGCGACGTTCTCGATCCTCATCAATGGCCTCGTCAAGGCAGGTATGATGATCCAGGCTCACTCCCTCGCCCAGGAGACCACGACCAATGGCTGCACGATCGACATCCACACGTACACCGCCATTGTGGATTGGCTCGCCAAGAACAAGAAGATCCAAGATGCCGTGGCTCTGATGGAGAAGATCACTGCCAATGGGTGTACTCCCACCATCGCCACCTACAACGCTCTCCTCAATGGTCTTTGCAAGATGGGACGGCTCGAAGAAGCCATCGATCTCCTTCGCAAGATCGTCGACAATGGCTGCACACCGGACGTGGTCACTTACACCTCGCTCATTGATGGCCTCGGCAAGGAGAAGCGATCCTTCGAAGCTTACAAGCTTTTCAAGGAGATGGCTTTGCGGGGACTGGTTCTTGACACCGTCTGCTACACTGCTCTCATCCGGGGACTCCTCCAGGCCGGGAAAATCCCGCAAGCTTCCTCGGTCTACAAGACAATGACGTCCCAAGGCTGCGTTCCAGACGTGGTAACACTCAGCACCATGATCGACGGCCTCTGCAAGGCTGGGAGGATTGGAGCGGCAGTCCGGATCTTCAAGTCGATGGAAGCTCGAGGCCTGGCTCCAAACGAGGTGGTGTACAGCGCTCTCATCCACGGCCTGTGCAAGGCCAGGAAGATGGACTGTGCGCTGGAGATGCTGGCCCAGATGAAGAAGGCGTTTTGTACCCCGGACACCATCACTTACAACATCCTCATCGACGGGCTTTGCAAGAGTGGCGACGTTGAGGCAGCACGGGCCTTCTTCGACGAAATGCTCGAGGCCGGATGCAAGCCCGACGTTTACACGTACAACATTCTCGTATCGGGGTTCTGCAAGGCCGGGAACACCGACGCTGCCTGTGGAGTCTTCGACGACATGAGCTCTAGCCACTGCTCGCCAAACGTTGTCACCTACGGGACTCTCATCTCCGGCCTCTGCAAGCGCCGCCAGCTGACCAAGGCCTCTTTATACTTCCAGCACATGAAGGAGAGAGGCTGCCCTCCGGACAGCTTCGTCTACAGCAGCTTGGTGGACGGGCTCTGCAAGTCGGGGAAGCTCGAAGGTGGCTGCATGCTCTTTGACGAGATGGAGAGGAGCGGTGTTGCAAACAGCCAGACGCGGACCAGGCTGATCTTCCATCTCTGCAAAGCGAACCGGGTCGACGAGGCCGTGTCGCTTTTCAACGCCATCAGGAAGGAAGGAATGCCGCACCCTTACGCCTACAACTCGATAATCAGCACGCTCATCAAGTCGGCAAAGGTGAACCCGTGTACCAGGAGATGACTCGCTGGTGGAGGCCCGATCGCGTCACCTACAACGCACTGCTCAATGGGATGATCACAGCAAACAGGATCGACAGAGCTCATTTTTATTACCTGGAGATGACCGGCAGAGGCTACGTTCCTCCCATGTCCATACTGACGACTGACTGAAGGAGCAAGCTTGATACTCAGTGTTGTTGGCTGTGACGTCGATCTCCAGATGTGGTACCAATGCCTGTGTACAGTACATATTGTATTTGTGAATTACAAGAACTTCGTGTTAGAAAATGGTGGTTACTGGCTAGAGACCAGCTATATAAACTCCCTTACCTTCTAAAGATAGTGTGTGTCTGTTGTGAAACCATTCTCCCTTCTCAGATAACAGTATAGCCTCGTAAATACGAGGACTCCTCTTGAGCATGCCCAGCTCCGCTTCACTCAAGTTGGACATTGCCTTGTGGAAAGTGGATTCATCCATGAACCATATCCAAGCAGCCACCAGCCCAACTACAATATCGTCTAGCTCTGACTTGGCACCAATAACCTCAGTGACAATGCCAGACAGGTTGATAGTGCTTCGCTTGTTCTTGAGTTTACTGAAGTCCACCCTACTCAAAAACTTGTTCATGATACCTGACCTCTGATGTTTCTTACTCAAGACTGTTATAAACGGACCAGTAACTGATTCATATCCCGAACCTGTTTCGAGCTCGGAATGGCTTACTTGTCTTTTAGATATTGACCACTGCCTATGAATGAAAATCCTGTGAAAGATATCTGCAGGATCAAAAGCATAGCTCCGGTAAACACTCGGATTCCTCCACCACTTTAACAATGTCCAGGCCGCTTGGGCTTTGATCTCGTCATCGCTTCCGTCAATAATGGATCTGATTAGATACTCGGATGCTTGCTTGGAAACTGCTTCACGAGGAAGGAAGCCCACTGGTGCTTTTGTGACAATGTGGTCCAGGAATTTGATTACGTCACCGTCCACAACCGCCAAAGGAATTATTCCAAATTCTCGCACAGCTAATACGAAGTTGTGTAACTGACCTGGTGTTAATACAACCTTTGCTAGAATCTTGTTTGCAGTATGCCTTGGTCCTTCATGATATGGTGATCCGAGAACAATGAGCTGAATCATGCATTTGATACTTCCAAAGGTTCTAGCTTCATCAGGTATGTTCCAGCAAAGGAGCTCCAGTAACTCCTCGTGATCGGAGCTGCGTTCTTGGTGTTCTTCATCCAAAAACCAATTGATGACGTAAGTGAAAAGATTTACACCTAATGCTTTACTGAATCCCTCTCTCATAAACGCCTCATGTACACGTGGGGCAACAACATGCATTGTAAGTTCACCTTCCCCCGCAATACATATCAGCCACAACACGAAGGAGTCCCAACCCAGTAGTTTGACCGCCAAGAAAACTGATGACTCCACCAAAGTCAGAATGTAGAACAGCCTGATCCCATACACAAAGTTGGCCACCTGCCCTGCATCAGACGATGAGATGGGTTTGTAGTCTCCTGACTTGAGCCGAGCAACGGAGAAACCAAGTGTTACAGCTGCACTACCCACTTGGAGCCCATGGAATATCAGATGTATGGACGCCTGTTTTATAAATATTGGCGGCAGCCTCCTCCGATAGCAAATGTTATAACCTAGGGAAGCGCAGTACAATGACGAGGTGAATATCCCTCCTAAGATACTTTTGTGGTACCCAGCGGCTACTAAGTAATCAACATTCTTGCTGCCTAGGAACACTCGCACACCCTCTGAAAGCAGCAGACCAGAAATGAGCCTGAAATCGTAAGACTTCAGCTGAGAGACATAACCCCCCAGCAGGATCACTGTGGCACCCACGAACGCTATTTGCCCTATGTATGTTGCACCCTGCTCCAAGGCTGCCAATACTAGAGCCACATATTTCACGTGCACTGACAGACTCACCAATCTCTGTGCTCTCCTCGTAAGCTTTTGATGTTCTTCCGTGATCCCATCTGAGCCCCCAACTGGTATTGCTGTATCATTCTCCATTGTAATTTCGGCTGCTCTACAGCTATGTCACGGCGATGTACACCAACGCAATTACAAGCAGGGATTTGGGAAGCTGTCGCAGTATCGTAACAAATATAGCACACGAAAGCACGATTCCCTTGAGTATGAGACAATGCAAGCAAAGAACAATGTAACAGGACAGTGCATCTTGGAGTTTTGAGGGGTCAAAACAACAAAATGTTTCGTGGCAGCTTATTTTACAAGGTTGCTGCTCAGCAATAGATCCTTCACTAGTTTGAAATCTAGGCAAAGGAGATTCCAGGCTCAAAAGACTAGTTTGAAATGCAGGCAAAGGAGATCCAAGGCTCAAAAGACTAGTTTGAAATGCAAGCAAAGGATCCAAGGCTCAAAAGACTAGTTTGAAATGCAAGCAAAGGAGATTCAAAACTCAGATCATCAAGTGTGTAATGAAAAGATCAATTACGTTTACTAATACCATATAGATACCAACATAGTCTTCGCAAAGACTGTTTGCTGTGTAGTTTCCAAGCCTTTAATGGCATACCATCTTCTCTGGTTCACTGCTAACGTTTCCAGAGGAGTTTGAAACCATTGAGAAGCTCTTCGAGTTCTCAAATATTTGGAGCAGTAAAGGTACGACAATTGTGACAATCTCGCTTGAGAATGATTTCGTAAATCACACCGCTGTAAATGCCATCACCTGGGCTGGTTCTCGACACTTCCACCTCGCGCAACTCCAGGTTGTGCTCAGACGCCTCGTTAAAGAATGCTCGATCAGTGCTAAAAAAAAGAAAGAAAAGATTCAAGAAAACACAAAAGAAGAAGCAAAATAACCTTTGTATGCGAGAGATGTAAGCAAGAAAAAACTTGCGGCAGTGGTGGTGTTGCAAAAGCTTGTTGACAGTCCTCATTAGCGGAGGAATGTTGCATTGCTGGTAGCGTGATAGGATCTGTTCAAGGAGAAACTTGGAGTCAAAAAGCTTCCATCAAAAGGATATAAATGTCGGCCCCAAGGATGTAGTCAAATCCCTCCGGATGCTTGTCAAGGATGAGAGAGAGCTGTTCTTCATTCCCCCACTCAAGCTTTTCACAGGCAATCCCTGCAATGAGGAGAAAAAAAAAACAAACAAACGAGATCTCTCATATATCAGTGAGAAAGAACTCACGCGATAGCAACGCCGTGTCCTGCTGAAGCGCCACGTTTTTCCTCATGATCTAGCAGCGATCCCCAAACTTGTTTTAAGAAACCATGCATGAAAATTCCTGCCTTTAAAACGATGTCATTGTGATCAGTCATGACGACTTTGCGGCAGCCAATCCTTCCACACAAAAGGCCAGTCACTCCTACAAACCATGAAAAAAAAAACAAGTGTTAGAAAAAAAAAAAGAGAGAGAGAAAGAAGAGAAAACCATGCGAAGAACTTCATACCAACACCAGAGCCCAGCTCAATGATCGAAGCTCCTTGAAAAATTTGGCTATGATCCACAATGTAGTTGAGGAGAAGCTCGGTGCCAGGCCAGATTATCTGGCCAGTGAGGTCGTAATCCGCTGCGAGCTATCGCATTGAAAGAGAGGAACCGAAAGAACACACTCACTGGAAGAGCATTGTAGGCTGAGCACAGGAATCTCGTGATGGCCGATGGAAATGCGCTGCTCAACGTAGCTAGCAGTGGATGATAGAATCGATTAAATCCTAGTAGCTTACTTCTCGTCCAGGAACAGCGATCCAGTACCTCCTCCATCGTCGTCCTCGTCCATCGCATGAGCCCTAAGAGAATAAGAATCTTACTCACAAAAGATGCCCTAAAGCCCTAGGGGTTAGGGTGTATGAATGGCGGCAAGATTTGGATGCTCGCGCATTGCCCGGCTATCGCGCATTGCACAGGTACCCAGCCGCGCCAGATCGATCGCCACGCAGCCGGTAGCTCAGGAATCCACCGAGGATGAGGCGGACGATCTTGCCGCTTCCTCCAATGCGGGCGTCTGGAGCTACAGGGATTTCGCGCAGATGCTCCACTCTTCCTCCTCCTCTTCCAGGCATTCGATCGAGGCGGCGCTGGGCAGGCTACGCCGGGAAATCTCCACTGACGCCGTGGTGAAGATCTTCCAGTGCCTCAAGGACGCCGATCTCGCCTGGGAGCTCTTCCAGTGCCTCTCCTCCCCTCGATTCGGCTTCCAGCACAGCGTCCACACGGGGAACGCGCTCCTGGATGTGTTTGCCAGGACCAAGCGCCACAGGGAGGCCGGGAATCTCCTCAAGAACGAGCTCGCGACGATATTTCGGCCGGATGTGGAGACCTGGAACGTCCTCGTCACCGGCTACTGCCTGGCTCGCGACGAGGAGGCATTCGCGGTGATGAAGGAGATGGAGGAGGATTACGGCGTGGCGCCGTCGCTCAAGACCCACAATCTCGTCCTCCACGGCCTGTGCAAGTCGGGCAAGGTCCTCGCAGCAATGGATCACTTCGATCACAGTGAGGAGATCCATGCCGGTGAGCGCTGCGACGTTCTCGATCCTCATCAATGGCCTCGTCAAGGCAGGTATGATGATCCAAGCTCACTCCCTCGCCCAGGAGACCACAACCAATGGCTGCACGATCGACATCCACACCTACACCGCCATTGTGGATTGGCTCGCCAAGAACAAGAAGATCCAAGAGGCCGTGGCTCTGATGCAGAAGATCACTGCCAATGGGTGTACTCCCACCATTGCCACCTACAACGCTCTCCTCAATGGTCTTTGCAAGATGGACGGCTCGAAGAAGCCATCGATCTCCTTCGCAAGAACGTCGACAATGGCTGCACGCCGGTCACTTACACCTCGCTCATCGATGGCCTCGGCAAGGAGAAGCGATCCTTCGAAGCTTACAAGCTTTTCAAAGAGATGGCTTCGCGGGGACTGGCTCTCGACACCGTCTGCTATACTGCTCTCATCCGGGGACTCCTCCAGACCGGGAAAATCCCGCAAGCTTCCTCGGTCTACAAGACGATGACGTCCCAAGGCTGCGTTCCCGACGTGGTAACTCTCAGCACCATGATCGACGGCCTCTCCAAGGCCGGGAGGATTAAAGCGGCAGTCCGGATCTTCAAGTCGATGGAAGGTCGAGGCCTGGCTCCAAACGAGGTGGTGGACAGCGCTCTCATCCACGGCCTGTGCAAGGCGAGGAAGAGTACGTCCTTTCCCTTCCCCCCTCTTTCTATTTTGTTATCGCTCTTATAAATTGATTTCACCAGGGAAGTCAGGACCGTAAAGAAACCCAAGCTCCCTCTGTTGCTGAGCAGTTCACTAAGAAATTGCTGGTGTCATTTCCCAGGCTTCTTTGGGAGCTCAAGTGTAATCAACTTGCGTCTTCAAGGTTTGTGTCAAGGCATTCGCATCGTAATGTTTCTCTTTCTTTTTTGCAGATTGTCCTAGAGATGCTACTCCGCCTTGGAAAGTTTGCAGTAGCTGGCTCTACTTTAGCAACAGATTTTGGAATGCTTCAATCGGCAATGATACCGTTTTTCTGCACTGTGTTGCCAGCCAAGGAAACGCCAGGTTCCGTTGCGTCTCCTAAATCTAGCAAAGAAACTGACTTTCCACATTCCAGACAAGTATTTGTACGGTCCGTTTATTAAGCTTCCTAGAGACTGCCAAGAGATTGCTGTACTACTTCAGCGGCTTCCAACCTTTCTTTCTCAAAGCACTGTTAGCTTGCTGTCTGTGTAAGTGCGCATTATGGCTTACATCTTCTAACCTGGAAAACCTCGACTCGCAGCTCCGAACATGGATCTGCAAACTTTGGTCCGCTTGTTGGAAGTGGTGCGAGTGTCCTTTGTTCAAGGTCGGGTTGAAGTTGCAAACTTTTCCAGTTTCCTTCTTACGCTGGTGGTGGAGTGCTCGCACACACACGGTAAATATCTCCTTTTTTCTTGTCGGGCAATTTATAACTGCTGATACTCTCTTCAGAAACTGCTGAAGAGAGAAACAAACACTGGATAATACTGGGTGTGGTGTCCCGTAGCCTATTCCAGATTGGAGATATCGACGTAGTTATGCATTTGTTGGCCAAGCCAATGTCCGAACATCTGGTGCGTAATTTTTCACACCTGTTGCTGTTTCTAACAGTCAAACACAGTCGGCTCGGCCTTCCCCAATGTTGTTAGCTAGTTCACTAAAAGTTCTGGCTACTCTGAGCCACGATGTGGAACATGTGGAGGTCCCTGAGTTGCTATTGAGCGTTCTCGTGGCGCAAACCGCGAGCTTTACGGTTTCAAGACTTCTGGTATACACCTGCGTTTTATCATGTGTATGATAATATGAATTGCAGGCTAAAGACCAAATGGTGATAGTTATTGTTTGGAATGCGGTGGACTTAGTTTTCAAGAACAGGAGGTTTGCACAATCCTTGATGAAGGAATTAGCTCTGAATCTATCAGGTTCGTTTGTTATGTTCTTCTCTCTTACGGCTGAGTGTCTATTGTCTTCAGGTGGCAAAGATCAAGTTTATGCTGTGGGAGTTTTGACGAACGAAATATGCAAGCAAAAAGCGATCCAGAAGCACCTCGAGTTTTCAGATGTTCGTGAGATATTTCGAGCAGTAAAGGTACGGCTACTATGAACATGTTTCACATACACGTTGTTTTGTGTCGCAGACAATTTTGAAGGAGGCACGCATGGACCAAGCTAAGTCCAAGCAGCTTTTCCACTTAGAGATCAGCATCCGAGATGCGTTTGGATCGCAAGTCCTAGTTTAAGCTGTGGCAAAGAGCTCGGGTGTTCCGTGGCTTTTGGGAACCCTGTGCTTGAGCTTCATCTGCCGCATCCTGGAAAGGTCAGTCGATTTTCCGGGCTTGGCGATGGTGGCATCAGTTTTTTTCTTCACCACTGATGGTGAAGCTCTTTTCGTTCAAGCCGCCGTCATCCTCGGCATCCCAGCGAGGATCAAGATTAAACGCCTCGGTGAAAGAAGCCGTCCGAATTGCCTCTACTTCTTTACTCACCTGGATCTTCTCCTCGTGCCTGTGTAACATGCTGATTGAAGCCGCTGCTCGCGACTGCTTCTCAAGGACAGCGTACGTATCTTCCATGCATACGCTCGCCACGGTTGTGACAGTGATGCTCTCAAAGCTGTGATAGGCAGACAGCGGTGCTCGTGGATCGAACTCGCCATGGCGTTCCATCGTAGCATTCTACTCACTCAAACAGCTCCTCCTCCCGCGGCCAAGAAGAAAACTGAAAGTCTTTCTTGGCATGTTGGGCGAGGGAGAAGCTGATTAACGATATTGAATGGAAAGATAAACAACAACAATGATTTAGTCCGTGTCGTGTTATTTGTTCTGAAACCATTCTCCCTTGTCAGATGACAGTATAGCCTCGTAAATACAAGTATTCTTCTTGAGCATGCCCAGGTCCTCTTTAGTCAAGTTGGAGATCACCTTCTGGAAAGTGGATTCATCCATGAACCATATCCAAGCTGCCACCAGCCCAACTACAAAGTCGATGAGCTTTGACTCGGCACCAATAACCTCAGGGACAATCCCGGACAGGTCGATAGTGCTCTGCTTGTTCTTGAGTTTGCTGAAGTCCACCCTACTCAAAAACTTGTTCATGATATCTGACCTCGGAACGTTCATACTGAAGACTGTTCTAATAGGACCAGCAACTGATTCATATCCAGCGACAGCTTCAAGCTCGCCTCCATCTAATGACACCTGTCGCCTCTCAATGAAAATCCTGTGAAAGATATCTGCAGGATCAAAAGCATAGCTCCGGTAAACTCTCGGATTCCTCCACCACTTTAAGAATGTCCAGGCCGCTTGGGCTTTGATCTCGTCGTCGCTTCCGTCAATAATGGATCTAATTAGATACTCGGATGCTTGCTTGGAAACTGCTTCACGAGGAAGGAAGCCCACTGGTGCTTCTGTGACCAGGAATTTGATTACGTCACCGTCCACAAAAGGAATTATTCCAAATTCTCGCACAGCTAATAAGAAGTTACCTGCTAATACATCCTCTAATACGCCTTAGTTTTTTTTTACGTGTTCCGAGAACAATGCGCTGAATCATGCATTTGATACTTCCGAAGGTTCTAGCTTGATCAGGTATGTTCCAGCAAAGGAGCTCCAGTACCTTCTGGTGATCGGAGCTGCATTCTTCTTACACACCATCCAAAAAATTATTGATGACATAAGTGAAAAGATTTACACCTAATGCTTCTGTCATAAACGCCTCATGTACACGTGGGCCAACATGGAGTGCAAGTATGAGCTTCCCCTGCAATACTTCTCAGCCACAACACGAAGGAGTCCAGTTTGACCGCCAAGAAAACTGATGACTCCACCAAAGTCAGAATGTAGAACAGCCTGATCCCATACACAAAGTTGGCCACCTGCCCTGCATCCGACGATGAGATGGGTTTGTAGTCTCCTGACTTGAGCCGAGCAAGGAGAAACCAAATGTTACAGCTGCACTACCCACTTGGAGCCCATGGAATATGAGATGTATGAACAGGTCCTTTATAAGCTTTGGCGGCTGCCTCCTCCGATAGCAAATGTTATAACCTAGGGAAGCGCAGTACAATGACGAGGTCAATATCCCTCCTAAGATACTTTTGTGAAACCCAGCGGCTACTAAGTAATCAACATTCTTGCTGACTAGGAACACTCGCACACCCTCTGAAAGCAGCAGACCAGAAATGAGCCTGAAATCGTAAGACTTGGTGAGGAGATCCATGCCAGTGAGCGTTGCGACGTTCTCCATCCTCATCAATGGCCTCGTCAAGGCAGGTATGATGATCAAAGCTCACTCCCTCGCCCAGGAGACCACGACCAATGGCTGCACGATCGACATCCACACCTATACCGCCATTGTGGACTGACTCGCCAAGAACAAGAAGATCCAAGAGGCCGTGGCTTTGATGGAGAAGATCACTGCCAATGGGTGTACTCCCACCATCGCCACCTACAACGCTCTCCTCAATGGTCTTTGCAAGATGGGACGGCTCAAAGAAGCCATCGATCTCCTTCGCAAGATCGTCGACAATGGCTGAACGCCGGACGTGGTCACTTACACCTCACTCATGGATGGCCTCGGCAAGGAGAAGCGATCCTTCGAAGCTTACAAGCTTTTCAAAGAGATGGCTTCGCGGGGACTGGCTCTCGACACCGTCTGCTACACTGCTCTCATCGGGGGACTCCTCCAGGCCGGGATAATCCCGCAAGCTTCCTCGGTCTACAAGACGATGACGTCCCAAGGCTGCGTTCCCGACGTGGTAACTCTCAGCACCATGATCGACGGCCTCTCCAAGGCCGGGAGGATTGGAGCGGCAGTCCGGATCTTCAAGTCGATGGAAGCTCGAGGCCCTTCTTCAAACGAGGTGGTGTACAGCGCTCTCATCCACGGCCTGTGCAAGGCCAGGAAGAGTGCGTTCTTTCCCTTCCCCCCTCTTTCTATTTTGTTATCGCTCTTATAAATTGATTTCACCAGGGAAGTCAGGACCGTAAAGAAACCCAAGCTCCCTCTGTTGCTGAGCAGTTCAGTAAGAAATGGCTGGTCTCATTTTCCAGGCTTCTTTGGGAGCTCAAGTGTAATCAACTTGCATCTTCAAAGGTTTGTGTCAAGAGGCCATTCGCATCGTAATGTTTCTCTTTCTTTTTTGCAGATTGTCCTAGAGATGCTACTCCGCCTTGGAAAGTTTGCAGTAGCAACAGATTTTGGAATGCCTCAATCGGCAATGATACCGTTTTTCTGCTCTGTGTTACCAGCCAAGGAAACGCCAGGTTCCGTTGCGTCTCCTAAATCTAGCATAGAAACTAACTTTTCACATTCCAGACAAGTGTTTGTACGGTCCGTTTATTAAGCTTCCTAGGAACTGCCAAGAGATTGCAGTCGACGTATTGTAGCGGCTTCCAACCTTTCTTTCTCAAAGCACTGTTAGCTGGCTGTCTGTGTAAGTGCGCATTATGGCTTACATCTTCTAACCTGGAAAACCTCAACTCGCAGCTCCGGACATGGATCTGCAAACTTTGGTCCGCTTGTTAGAAGTGGTTCGAGTATCCTTTGTTCAAGGGCGGGTTGAAGTTGCAAACTTTTTCAGTTTCCTTCTTACGCTGGTGGTGGAGTGCTCGCATGCACAGGGTAAATATCTCCTTTTTTCTTTTCGGGCAATTTATACTCTTTTCAGAAACTGCTGACGAGAGAAACAAACACTGGATAATACTGGGTGTGGTGTCCCATAGCCTATTCCAGCTTGGAGATATCGACGTAGTTATGCATTTTTTGGCCAAGCCAATGTCCGAACATCTGGTGCGTAATTTTTCACACCTGTTGCTGTTTCTAACAGTCAAACACAGTCGGCTCGGCCTTCCCCAATGTTTTTAGCTAGTTCACTAAAAGTTCTGGCTACTCTGAGCAACGATGTGGAACATGTGGAGGTCCCTGAGTTGCTATTGAGCGTTCTCGTGGCGCAAACCGCGAGCTTTACGGTTTCAAGACTTCTGGTATACACCTGCGTTTTATCATGTGTATGATAATATGAATTGCAGGCTAAAGACCAAATGGTGATAGTCATTGTTTGCAATGCGGTGGACTTAGTTTTCAAGAACAAGAGGTTTGCACAATCCTTGATGAAGGAATTAGCTCTGAATCTATCAGGCTCGTTTGTTATGTTCTTCTCTCTTACGGCTGAGTGTCTATTTTCTTCAGGTGGCAAAGATCAAGTTTATGCTGTGGGAGTTTTGACGAACGAAATATGCAAGCAAAAAGCGATCCAGAAGCCCCTCGAGTTTTCAGATGTTCGTGAGATATTTCGAGCAGTAAAGGTACGGCTACTATGAACTTCATGTTTCACATACACGTTGTTTTGTGTCGCAGACAATTTTGAAGGAGGCACGCATGGACCAAGCTAAGTCCAAGCAGCTTTTCCACTTAGAGATCAGCATCCGAGATGCGTTTGGATCGCAAGTCCTAGTTTAAGCTGTGGCAAAGAGCTCGGGTGTTCCGTGGCTTTTGGGAACCCTGTGCTTGAGCTTTAATATTATCTGCTGCATCCTGGAAAGGTCAGTCGATTTTCCGGGCTTGGCGATGGCGGCCTCAGTTGTTTTCTTCTCCGCAGCCGGCTTGGTGGAGATTAGTTCTGAGACGGCACCCCAGTAATTTAGTGGTGCCCTCGCATGGAACTCTTCTCGGGACTCCAACGATACCTGCATGAGGAAGAGAGGTCAGTTTAAAACATAAAATCTATCTTCTTGACGACCTTTTCCTTCTCACGATTTCCTTTTTTACTAGCTTCGACTTCTGCGTTCCGTTTTGCAAAGAGCTCTCGTTTGTGCTCCTCGGCAGTGCAAAGAGTTTTTGCAAGCCTGTCCCTCTTGTCATTCTCCTTCGCTTCTAAAGCTAGCGCGTTTTTCCTGGCAAGAAACCGTAAGTAATTTTCTAAAAAGCTTCGTAGCGACTTACCTCGTCCATTCCTGGAATTTAAGATGCGATGGATCGAAGGTCGCTGTGGCGGTGCTGGTGCTGAAGATGTCCTGAGGATCATCAACGTCCTTTTTGTTTGTCTCGAGAAGATCGTGAAGCTCCTGAACGCTACTGATGGTGAAACTCTTTTCGTTCAAGCCGCCGTCATCCTCGGCACCCCAGCGAGGATCAAGATCAAATGCCTCGGTGAAAGAAGCCGTCCGAATTGCCTCTACTTCTTCACTCACCTGGATCTTCTCCTCGTGCCTGTGCAACACGCTGATTGAAGGCGCTGCTCGCGACTGCTTCTCAAGGACAGCGTACGTATCTTCCATGCATACGCTCGCCACGGTTGTGACAGTGATGCTCTCAAAGCTGTGACAGGCAGACGGCGGTGCTCGTGGATCGAACTCGCCATGACGTTCCATCGTAGCGTTTTCTACTCACTCAAACAGCCTCCTCCTGCGGCCAAGAAGAAAACTGAATGTCTTTCTTGGCATGTTGGGCGAGATTAACGATATTAAATGGAAAGATAAACAACAACAATGATTCAGTTCGAGTTTTAAAACCATTTTCCCTTGTTAGATGACAGTATAGCCTCGTAAATACGAGTATTCTTCTCGAGCATGCCCAGGGCCTCTTCAGTCAAGTTGGAGATCACCCTCTGGAAAGTGGATTCATCCATGAACCATATCCAAGCTGCCACCAGCCCAACTACAGTGTCGTCTAGCTCTGACTCGGCACCAATAACCTCAGGGACAATCCCGGACAGGTCGATAGTGCTCCGCTTGTCCTTGAGTTTGCTGAAGTCCACCCTACTCAAAAAGTTGTTCATGACATCTGACCTCTCAGGTTCCACCAAGTTAATGAAGACTGTTCTAATAGGACCAGCAACGGATTCATATCCAGCGACAGATTCAAGCTCGCCTCGATGTAATGACACCTGTCCCCTCTCAATGAAAATCCTGTGAAAGATATCTGCAGGATCAAAAGCATAGCTCCGGTAAACTCTCGGATTCCTCCACCACTTTAAGAATGTCCAGGCCGCTTCGGCTTTGATCTCGTCGTCGCTTCCGTCAATAATGGATCTGATTAGATACTCGGATGCTTGCTTGGAAACTGCTTCACGAGGAAGGAAGCCCACTGGTGCTTCTGTGACAATGCGGTCCAGGAATTTGATCACGTCATCGTCCACAACCGCCAAAGGAATTATTCCAAATTCTCGCACAGCTAATAAGAAGTTGTGTAACTCACCTTCTGTTAGTACAACCTTTGCTAGAATCTTGTTTGCAGTATGCCTTGGTTTTTCATGATATGATGATCCAAGAACAATGAGCTGAATCATGCATTTGATACTTCCAAAGGTTCTAGCTTCATGAGGTATGTACCAGCAAAGGAGCTCCAGTAACTCCTCGTGATGGGAGATGCGTTCTTGGTGTTCTTCATCCCATTTTTGGTGTTCTTCATCCAAAAACCAATTGATGACGTAAGTGAAAAGATTTACACCTAATGCTTTACCGAATCCCTCTCTCACAAACGCCTCATGTACACGTGGGCCTACATTGACTGCAAGCCCTTCAGCTTCCCCTCGAATACAGGACAGCCACAACAAGAGGAAGTCCCAACCCAGTAGTTTGACCGCCAAGAAAACTGATGACTCCACCAAAGTCAGAATGTAGAAGAGCCTGATCCCATACACAAAGTTGGCCACCTGCCCTGCATCCGACGATGAGATGGGTTTGTAGTCTCCTGACGTGAACCGAGCAAGGGAGAAACCAAATGTTACAGCTGCACTACCCACTTGGAGCCCATGGAATATGAGATGTATGAACAGGTCCTTTATATACTTTGTCAGCTCCGTCCTCAGACAGCAAATGTCAGAACCTACGAAAGTGCAGCACGCTGCCCAGGTGAATATCCCTCCAAAGGTACTATTGTGGAACCCAGCGGCTACTGAATAATCAACATTCTTGCTGACTAGGAACACTCGCACACCCTCTGAAAGCAGCAGACCAGAAATGAGCTTGAAATCGTAGGGCTTGAGCTGAGAGACATAACCCCCCAGCAAGACCACAGTGGCGCCCACGAACGCTATTTGCCCTATGTATGTTGCACCCTTCTCCAGGGCTGACAATACTAGAGCCACATATTTCACTTGCACTGACAGACTCACCAATCTCTGTGCTCTCCTCATAAGATTTTGATGTTCTTCCGTGTTCCCATCTGAGCCCCCAACTTGTATTGCTGTATCATTCTCCATTGTAATTTCGGCTGCTCTACAGCTATGTCACGGTGATGTACACCAACGCAATTAGAAGCAGGGATTTGGGAAGCTGTCGCAGTATTGTAACAAATATAGCACATGAAAGCACGATTCCGTTGAGTATGAGATAATGCAAGCAAAGCACAATGTAACAGGACAGTGCATCTTGGAGTTTTTGTCGAGATGTCAGTCTCGATCAGCCGACGTGGCATGTCCACGTGGGCATGAGTCATGTCCCTCATGAGTGTTATGTCCATCCCTATTAACATCACAACATGGTATCGGATTTCGACGATCCTGGTTGGTTGATTTGACGTTGCTGTCATGACCGCTTCAACCCCACCACCACCTCCGCCGCCCCCACCACCACCGCCGCTGCCGCCGCCACCGGTCGTCTCTCACGATCTTCTAAATCGATATTTTACATAGTAACCCTGCCCTATTATATTGGCGGCGATCTGTGGAGAAATTCAGTGGCACGAATTTCTTCACATGGGCGACTGATCCTCTCTGCGAAACGAGCGTGGAACATCGTTGATGGGACTTCGCACGATCTTCGTGGCCCAAGCCGCAAATTCTTCCATGTTGCTGAATCAACAATTCTTGGCGCTTCACATGGAAACGGGTGAAACCATTGCTGTGTACGTGGGACGGATTCGAGGGCTAATGGCTGAATTGACTGGTGCTGGGTCTCCTGTCACGGACGATCGCGCCAGGGCGTTGCTGCTTGCAACCGTCACGCCTGCGTTTAGCACGCTCGCATCTGTACATGGCCATGAACTTTGATCAAGTCGTGGGTGCCCTAATTGAATAGGAACGCAAGATGAAGGTCAGCCAAATCTTCCTTGCTTTATGCTGGCGCTGCGGGAGGATCATCCTCGTCCTCTCAAGCTCAGCCGAACGACACTGGTTTTCGTGGCATTTGTCACTATTGCCACAAATCTGGACACTTGGCGAGGGATTGCAAGAAGAAGAAAGCTGATCGTGCTAAAGCTGCCAAGAACAAAGACAAAGGAAACAAAGACAAGGGCTCTGGGACACCTCGTAAGCACTTGATGCCTCGCTCTGCAAGCAGCAGCCACCAGCCCGTGCTCGGACCAGAGCTGTGGCTGGATTCTGGAGCGTCATTCCATATGACGCCCATGGCTTCCTTGTTTTTTTGACTACCGAGAACCATGTGAGAGTGACGCTGTGGGACTCGGTGACTCCTCTGCTCACGACGTACTAGGCAAAGGAACAATCAGGGTTCAGCTCTCTTCTGGAGAAATCCGGGAGATCTATCCTGTGTCTTATGTTCCAGGACTTACACACACGCTGCTGTCGATTGGAACTGCTGCTCAAGTAGTCTTCGATACTCTGTTCACAGCACAGGGAGCGTTCGTGCTGGATGCCGAGACTGGAGACAAGGTCGCTTTTGGAGTTCCAGTTGATACGCTCTACCGCCTGGATGCTCACGTGATCCTTCCACCCATGGTTGGTCCCGACCGTTCCGAACGCCGACCGGCCGACCGGCCGACCGTGGTTATCGACCGGCTGTGAAAATGCCGAACGGCCGAACGGTTCACAAAATTTTTTTGATAAAAAAAAAAACATTTTAAGTAAAACCATATTAATAAAAGTAGAAAAACCAAAGCATTAAACCAAACCAAACCAAACCAAACCATGGTATAGCATTCAAGAAAATGAACTTTGATATCGCATCATCTAAGTTCATGTTTCTTGCATCATCAAGCATTTCCCCAATATTGCCATCTCGCATTCACTTTCGACCAATAGATGATCCTTCATAGCCTATAGAAGCACTCATAGGCTGAGATTGACTAGCACTTTGTGTACCAGCTCCAGAAGCAGATGCCCCATCAAAATGTCTATTCTGTAGATTTGCTGTAGAAGGTAAAGACGAAAGGGCATTTGCAATTTGCTCCACAAACATTCGGCGAGCTTGGTTCTGAACATGAAGAGGAACATTTGAAGCACTACATACTTCAATATCACGCCCAGAAACTTTAGCAAGATGCGCCTTGATTCGTTTCGGCGGACCGCCATACATTTTACCACAATAATTACATTTCCAACGCCCAGCTCTTTTGCCGGAAGCATAAGGAGTGAGCTTGGTAACATGGGACCATGCCCAATCGGGCGCCATCACTCAATTGTGCCAGAATTGCTACGAATCTCTAGAATCAAATCTCTGAAATCACTGGAATTTCCATTTTAGGGCAAAAATTTCAAGCGTTGCGGACTGCGCGATTTGATTTGCGAGGCAGCGAGCTGCTCTGCTCCACACTCAATCGAAAGCAGAGGCAGTGGTGATGGCAATCAAAAGCAGAGGCAGTGGTGATGGCAATCAAAAGCAGAGGCAGTGGTGGTGATGGCGATAGCCGCTGGAGCATCAGAAATCTAGCGCGATCACAATTTTTTTTTTTCACATTTTTTTTTTTGCCGAACAGAATACCGAACGGAGCTGTCCGACCGCGTTCGGCCGACCGCGTTCGGCGGCGGTCGGAATGATGGCCAAACGCATTCGGGACCAACCATGCTTCCACCTGTGGCGCTGATGGCTCGGGCTCCACCGACACTTGCAACCTGGCACCAGCGCCGTGGTCACGTGAACGAGCAACAGCTAAAAAAGGTGGATGTTCCTGTGGCGCCTGGGAGCGCGCTGCCCTTTTGCGAAGCTTGTGTTGGTGGAAAACACCACGTTTTTCCTTTTCCACAGGTTTCTCATTCTCGAGCAAGTTCTGTTCTTGAGTTGGTACACTCGGACGTTTGTTCGATTGTGGTTGAATCTTTGGGAGGCAAACGTTACGTAGTCACCTTCCTGGATGATTACACGCGGTACCTGATCGTGTACCTGCTGGCTCACAAGTGAGAGGTGTTCTCCTGCTTTTGCCAATACAAGGCTTTGGTAGAAAATCTACACAGCTGTTTAGTTCATGTGCTCCGCTGTGATCGTGGAGGAGAATTCATCTCTGGAGAATTCGAGACGTTTTGTGCTGAAGCTGGGGTCCAGCGCCAGTTTGCTGTCCCTGATGCTGCCCAGAATGGTGCTGCCGAGAGGGTGAATCGCACCATCATAGAAGCTGCGCTTCATGTGGGAATGCCGGCTGCTTTCTGGGGTGAGGCAGTTAACACGGCTGTTTATGTTCGAAACCGGTTGCCAACACGTGCCCTGCCTGGGAAGACCACTCCTTATGAACTTTGACTGGTCACGCAGCTGGTTACGATCATCTCCGCATTTTTTGCTGTTTTGCCTACGCACACGTTCCACACAAGCAACGCTGAAAGCTGGAGTCAAAGGCTGAGCCATCCATTTTCCTGGGATATTTGGAAGGCATGAAAGGATATCGCCTTTATTCTCTCAAGCGCAAAACTTTGCTGGAAAGATGGGATGTGCTCTTTGATGAGAGCAAGCTGTACAAGGATCTCTGCTGGTGGTAACGTGGTGGTTCCTCCAGCACTGCCACCACGCCCTCCAGCTACGCCTCTGCAAGAATCTCCTCCAGTGAGAACACCTAGCTTCTCTGAAGAGCTGATGAACACTTACTTCGAGGGCGACGAGGAATTTCAAGCTGCTCCTGAGTTCTTCCTCGGTTCATCTTCAGTGGGAGCTGGACGTGGATCATCACCTTCAGTGGGAGCTGGAAGCAGGTCGCCAACTTCAGTGGGAGCTCTCCCAGACTCTCCACTTGTTCCACCACCTGTGGTCCACCCTCCAGCACGTCCTGAACCTCGACGCTCTGCTCGAGTTCCCGTACCATTGCGGCTGCAACTGGAAGCTGAGCAATCTCGTCCCTTCTTTAGTTTTGGAAAAATTAAAAAGAAAGGAACGCACCAGGCTAACTTCGTGGCTGCTAATCCAGGGCGAATCCCCATTCCAGCGAATGTTGACGAGGCATTAGCTGTACCTCATGCTGCCCAGTGGCGAGAAGCCATGAATGCTGAAATGCATTCGCATGAGCGAAACAATACAATGACAAAGACAACCTTACCTGAAGGTGCTCACCTTGAGAGCTCGAAATGGATTTACACAGTCAGATGGAACTGTAGCAAAGTTCAAGGCCAGGTTTGTCGCACGGGGATTCAGCCAGATTCCAGGTTTGGAATACATGGAGACGTACTCACCAGTTGTGAAGTTGACCTCTGTGCGAGTGATCCTTGCACTGGCTGCCAAGTACGACCTGGAACTGCACCAGTTGGACGTTCGCACTGCTTTCCTGCACGGCAAGTTGAACGAGGAGGTCTACGTCACGCAACCACCTGGATTCGTCAAACCTGGTGAGGAACATCTTGTTTGCAAGCTGAATCGCGCCCTGTATGGGCTTAAACAATCCCCGAGGGTTTGGTTTGAACGCATTGATGCGTTCTTCAAGAGCCTGGGGTGTGTTCCTCTTGCAGTGGAAGGAAACGTGTACCTGTACAAGAGTGGTGACGATTTTCTCCTGGTTGCTGTGTACGTTGACGACTGCATTCTCGGTGCAAAAACCCGCCACCTGCTGGACGAGATGAAAAAGAAGCTGAGTGAAGAATTTGAGATGTCTGACCTGGGCGAGCTTCGCCATTTCCTTGGCATCCAAATTATACGCAATCGAGGAGCACGCACCTTGAGCTTGACACAAGCTCACTATGCAAGGGAGATCTTGGAACGCTTCCATATGCTGGAATGCTCTTCCCTGGCCACACCTCTTGAGGTCAATCACAAACTCAGCCGTGACATGGCCCCTGTCACAGAGGAAGAACGAGAGTACATGGCCACGGTGCCATATCGTCAAGCAGTGGGAAGTCTTGTTTATTTGATGCTGGGAACGCGACCAGATCTCGCCTATGCTCTTGGGATGGTCTCCCAGTTCCTCGAGAACCCCGGACCTGCGCATTGGCAAGCTTTCCGCTACGTTCGAGGTACCTTGCATTTGCAGCTTCACTATGGCGCTGCTGTGTCACAGGAACTTCATGGGTACTCTGGATGCGGACTGGGCGGGCGACCAGGACTCAAGGCGCTCTACCTCCGGGTATGCGTTCTTGCTCCATGGGGCTGCTGTGTCCTGGAGCAGTAAGCGCCAGCCGCTGGTGGCTCTGTCCTCGACAGAGGCAGAGTACATTGCCCTAACCGCTGCCACCCAGTTCTGCCGTGACCTGCCCCAGATTCCTGCTTGCACCGGCCCTATGGTGCTGTTCTCGGACAACCAACGTGCTCTTGCACTGGCCGCCAATCCTCGCTTCCATTCTCGGACGAAACACATCGAGATTCGTTTCCACTACGTGCGGGAACAAGTCCAAAATGGAAAGTTGTTGCTGGAATATTGCCCCACCGAGGCAATGGTGGCTGATATACGTAGTCCATCCTCTCAGCTGATCGAGCCAGAGTGGGAGTGTCGAGATGTCAGTCTCGATCAGCTGACGTGGCACGTCCACGTGGCCCTTGAGTCGGGAGTGTTGTGTCCATCCCTTTTAACATCACAACAGTTTTGAGGGGTAAAAACAACAAAATGTTTCATGGCAGCTTATTTTACAAGGTTGTTGCTCAGCAATAGATCCTTCACTAGTTTGAAATTTAGGCAAAGGAGATTCAAGGCTCAAAAGACTAGTTTTAAATGCAGGCAAAGGAGATTCAAAACTCAGATCATCAACTAATACCATATAGATACCAACATAGTCTCCGCAAAGACTGTTTGCTGTGTAGTTTCCAAGCCTTTATGGCATACCATCTTCTCTGGTTCACTGCTAACGTTTCCAGAGGAGTTTGAAACCATTGAGAAGCTCTTCGAGTTCTCAAATATTTGGAGCACTAAAGGTACGACAATTGTGACAATCTCGCTTGAGAATGATTTCGTAAATCACACCGCTGTAAATGCCATCACCTGGGCTGGTTCTCGACACTTCCACCTCGCGCAACTCCAGGTTGTGCTCAGACGCCTCGTTAAAGAATGCTCGATCAGTGCTGAAAAAAGAAACAAAAGATTCAAGAAAACACAAAAAAAGAAGCAAAACAACCTTTGTATGCGAGAGACGTAAGCAAGAAAAAACTTGCGGCAGTGGTGGTGTTGCAAAAGCTTGTTGACAGTCCTGATTAGCGGAGGAATGTTGCATTGCTGGTAGCGTGATAGGATTTGTTCAAGGAGAAACTTGGAGTAAAAAAGCTTCCATCAAAAGGATATAAATGTCGGCTCCAAGGATGTAGTCAAATCCCTCCGGATGCTTGTCAAGGATGAGAGAGAGCTGTTCTTCATTCCCCCACTCAAGCTTTTCACAGGCAATCCCTGCAATGAGGGAAAAAAAAAAAAAACAAACAAACAAACAAACGAGATCTCTCATATATCAGTGAGAAAGAACTCGAGAGAAACTCACGCGATAGCAACGCCGTGTCCTGCTGAAGCGCCACGTTTTTCCTCATGATCTAGCAGCGATCCCCAAACTTGTTTTAAGAAACCATGCATGGAAATTCCTGCCTTTAAAACGGTGTCATTGTGATCAGTCATGACGACTTTGCGGCAGCCAATCCTTCCACACAAAAGGCCAGTCACTCCTACAAACCATGAAAAAAATCAAGTGTTAGAAAAAAGAAAAAGAGAAAGAAGAGAAAACCATGCCAAGAACATCATACCAACACCAGAGCCCAGCTCAATGATCGAAGCTCCTTGAAAAATTTGGCTATGATCCACAATGTAATTGAGGAGAAGCTCGGTGCCAGGCCAGATTATCTGGCCAGTGAGGTCGTAATCCGCTGCGAGCTATCGCATTGAAAGAGAGGAACCGAGAGAGAAAGAACACACTCACTGGAAGAGCATTGTAGGCTGAGCACAGGAATGTCGTGATGGCCGATGGAAATGCGCTGCTCAACGTAGCTAGCAGTGGATGATAGAATCGATTAAATCCTAGTAGCTTACTTCTCGTCCAGGAACAGCGATCCAATACCTCCTCCATCGTCGTCCTCGTCCATCGCATGAGCCCTAAGAGAATAAGAATCTTACTCACAAAGATGCGCTAAAGCCCTAGGGGTTAGGGTTTATGAATGGCGGCAAGATTTGGATGCTCGCGCGGCTATCGCGCATTGCACAGGTACCCAGCCGCGCCAGATCGATCGCCATGCAGCCGGTAGCTCAGGAATCCACCGAGGATGAGGCGGACGATCTTGCCGCTTGCTCCAATGCGGGCGTCTGGAGCTACAGGGATTTCGCGCAGATGCTCCACTCTTCCTCCTCTTCCAGTCATTCGATCGAGGCGGCGCTGGGCAGGCTACGCCGGGAAATCTCCACTGACGCCGTGGTGACGATCTTCCAGTGCCTCAAGGACGCCGATCTCGCCTGGGAGCTCTTCCAGTGCCTCTCCTCCCCTCGATTCGGCTTCCAGCACAGCGTCCACACGGGGAACGCGCTCCTGGATGTGTTTGCCAGGACCAAGCGCCACAGGGAGGCCGGGAATCTCCTCAAGAACGAGCTCGCGACGATATTTCGGCCGGATGTGGAGACCTGGAACGTCCTCATCACCGGCTACTGCCTGGCTCGCGAGCCCGAGGAGGCATTCGCGGTTATTAGGGAGATGGAGGAGGATTACGGCGTGGCGCCGTCGCTCAAGACCCACAATCTCGTCCTCCACGGCCTGTGCAAGTCGGGCAAGGTCCTCGCGGCGATGGATCACTTCGAGACGGTGAGGAGATCCATGCCGGTGAGCGCTGCGACGTTCTCGATCCTCATCAATGGCCTCGTCAAGGCAGGTATGATGATCCAAGCTCACTCCCTCGCCGAGGAGACCACAACCAACGGCTGCACGATCGACATCCACACCTACACCGCCATTGTGGACTGGCTGGCCAAGAACAAGAAGATCGAAGAGGCCGTGGCTCTGATGGAGAAGATCACTGCCAATGGGTGTACTCCCACCATCGCCACCTACAACGCTCTCCTCAATGGTCTTTGCAAGATGGGACGCCTCGAAGAAGCCATTGATCTCCTTCGCAAGATCGTGGTCACTTACACCTCGCTCATTGATGGCCTCGGCAAGGAGAAGCGATCCTTCGAAGCTTACAAGCTTTTCAAGGAGATGGCTTCGCGGGGACTGGCTCTCGATAGCGTCTGCTACACTGCTTTCATCCGGGGACTCCTCCAGGCCGGGAAAATCCCGCAAGCTTCCTCGGTCTACAAGACGATGATGTCCCAAGGCTGCGTTCCCGACGTGGTAACTCTCAGCACCATGATCGACGGCCTCTCCAAGGCCGGGAGGATTGGAGCGGCAGTCCGGTTCTTCAAATCGATGGAAGCTCGAGGCCTGGCTCCAAACGAGGTGGTGTACAGCGCTCTCATCCACGGCCTGTGCAAGGCCAGGAAGAGTACGTTCTTTCCCTTCCCCGCTCTTTCTATTTTATAAATTGATTTCGCCAGGAAAGTCAGGACCGTAGAGAAACCCAAGCTCCCTCTGTTTCTGAGCAGTTCAGTAAGAAATGGCTGGTCTCATTTCCCAGGCTTCTTTGGGAGCTCAAGTGTAATCAACTTGCGTCTTCAAAGGTTTGTGTCAAGAGGCCATTGCCATTTAATCGCATTCGCATCGTAATGTTTCTCTTTCTTTTTCGCAGATTGTCCTAGAGATGCTACTCCGCCTTGGAAAGTTTGCAGTAGCTTTAGCAACAGATTTTGGAATGCTTCAATCGGCAATGATACCGTTTTTCTGCACTGTGTTGCCAGCCAAGGAAACGCCAGGTTCCGTTGCGTCTCCTAAATCTAGCAAAGAAACTGACTTTCCACATTCCAGACAAGTATTTGTACGGTCCGTTTATTAAGCTTCCTAGAGACTGCCAAGAGATTGCTGTACTACTTCAGCGGCTTCCAACCTTTCTTTCTCAAAGCACTGTTAGCTTGCTGTCTGTGTAAGTGCGCATTATGGCTTACATCTTCTAACCTGGAAAACCTCGACTCGCAGCTCCGAACATGGATCTGCAAACTTTGGTCCGCTTGTTGGAAGTGGTGCGAGTGTCCTTTGTTCAAGGTCGGGTTGAAGTTGCAAACTTTTCCAGTTTCCTTTTTACGCTGGTGGTGGAGTGCTCGCATGCACACGGTAAATATCTCCTTTTTTCTTGTCGGGCAATTTATAACTGCTGATACTCTTTTCAGAAACTGCTGAAGAGAGAAAGAAACACTGGATAATACTGGGTGTGGTGTCCCGTAGCCTATTCCAGATTGGAGATATCGACGTAGTTATGCATTTGTTGGCCAAGCCAATGTCCGAACATCTGGTGCGTAAGTTTTCACACCTTTTGCTGTTTCTAACAGTCAATTACAGTCGGCTCGGCCTTCCCCAATGTTGTTAGCTAGTTTACTAAAAATTGTGGCTACTCTGAGCCACGATGTGGAACATGTGGAGGTCCCTGAGTTGCTATTGAGCGTTCTGGTGGCGCAAACCGCGAGCTTTGCGGTCTCAAGACTTCTGGTATACACCCGCGTTTTATCATGTGTATGATAATCTGAATTGCAGGCTAAAGACCAAATGGTGATGGTTATTGTTCGCAATGCGGTGGACTTAGTTTTCAAGAACAAGAGGTTTGCACAATCCTTGATGAAGGAATTAGCTCTGAATCTATCAGGTTCGTTTGTTATGTTCTTCTCTCTTACGTCTGAGTGTCTATTGTCTTCAGGTGGCAAAGATCAAGTTTATGCTGTGGGAATTTTGACGAACGAAATATGCAAGCAAAACGCGATCCAGAAGCACCTCGAGTTTTCAGATGTTGGTGAGATATTTCGAGCAGTAAAGGTACGACTAGTATGAGAACTTCATGTTTCACATACACGTTGTTTTGTGTCACAGACAATTTTGAAGGAGGCACGCATGGACCAAGCTAAGTCCAAGCAGCTTTTCTACTTAGAGATCAGCATCCGACATGCGTTTGGATCGCAAGTCCTAGTTTAAGCTGTGGCAAAGAGCTCGGGCATTCCGTGGCTTTTGGGAATCCTGTGCTTGAGCTTTAATATTATCTGCCGCATCCTGGAAAGGTCAGTCGATTTTCCGGGCTCGGCGATGGCGGCATCAGTTTTTTTCTTCTCCGCAGCCGGCTTGGTGGAGATTAGTTCTGAGACGGCACCCCAGTAATTTAGTGGTGCCCTCGCATGGAACTCTTCTCGGGACTCCAACGATACCTGCATGAGGAAGAGAGGTCAGTTTAAAACATAAAATCTATCTTCTTGACGACCTTTTCCTTCTCACGATTTGCTTTTTTACTAGCTTCGACTTCGCGTTCCGTTTTGCAAAGAGCTCTCGTTTGTGCTCCTCGGCAGCGCAAAGAGTTTTTGCAAGCCTGTCCCTCTCGTCATTCTCCTTCGCTTCTAAAGCTAGCGCGTTTTTCCTGGCAAGAAACCGTAAGTGATTTTCTAAAAAGCTTCGTAGCGACTTACCTCTTCCATTCCAGGAATTTAAGATGTGATGGATCGAAGGTAGCTGTGGCGGTGCTGGTGCTGAAGATGTCCTGAGGATCATCAACGTCGTTTTTGTTTCTCTCGAGAAGATCGTGAAGCTCCTGAACGCCACTGGTGGTGAAGCTCTTTTCGTTCAAGCCGCCGTCATCCTCGGCATCCCAGCGAGGATCAAGATCAAACGCCTCGGTGAAAGAAGCCGTCCGAATTGCCTCTACTTCTTCACTCACCTGGATCTTCTCCTCGTGCCTGTGCAACATGCTGATTGAAGGCGCTGCTCGCGACTGCTTCTCAAGGACATCGTACGTATCTTCCATGCATACGCTCGCCACGGTTGTGACAGTGATGCTCTCAAAGCTGTGACAGACAGACGGCGGTGCTCGTGGATCGAACTCGCCATGGCGTTCCATCGTAGCGTTTTCTACTCACTCAAACAGCTCCTCTTCCCGCGACCAAGAAGAAAACTGAATGTCTTTCTTGGCATGTTGGGCGAAGGAGAAGCTGATTAACGATATTAAATGGAAAGATAAACAACAACAATGATTCAGTTCGAGTTCTAAAACCATTTTCCCTTGTTAGATGACATTACAAGAATTACAAGAATTACAAGAACTTCGTGCAAGAAAATGGTGGTTACTGGTTAGAGACCAGCTATACAAACTCCCTTAGCTTCTAAACATAGTGTGTGTCTGTTGTGAAACCATTCTCCCTTCTCAGATAACAGTATAGCCTCGTAAATATGAGGATTCCTCTTGAGCATGCCTAGGTCCGCTTCACTCAAGTTGGACATTGCCTTCTGGAAAGTGGATTCATCCATGAACCATATCCAAGCTGCCACCAGCCCAACTACAAAGCTGTCTAGCTCAGTGGCAATGCCAGACAGGTCGATAGTGCTCCGCTTGTCCTTGAGTTTGCTGAAGTCCACCCTACTCAAAAACTTGTTCATGATATCTGAAGTCCAAGTACTCAAGACTGTTCTAATAGGACCAGCAACTGATTCATATCCAGCGACAGCTTCAAGCTCGCCTCGATCTAATGACACCTGTTGCCTCTCAATGAAAATCCTGTGAAAGATATCTGCAGGATCAAAAGCATAGCTCCGGTAAACTCTCGGATTCCTCCACCACTTTAAGAATGTCCAGGCGGCTTCGGCTTTGATCTCGTCATCGCTTCCGTCAATGATGGATCTGATTAGATACTCGGATGCTTGCTTGGAAACTGCTTCACGAGGAAGGAAGCCCACTGGTGCTCCTCTGACAATGCGGTCCAGCAAATTGATTACGTCATCGTCCACAACCGCCAAAGGAATTATTCCAAATTCTCGCACAGCTAATACTAAGTTATGTAACTGACCTGGTGTTAATACAACCTTTGCTAGAATCTTGTTTGCAGTATGCCTTGGTCCTTCATGATATGATGGTCCGAGAACAATGAGCTGAGTCATGCATTTAATACTCCCAAAGGTTCTAGCTTCATGAGGTATGTTCCAGCAAAGGAGCTCCAGTACCTCCTCGTGATCGCAGCTGCATTCTTCTTCTTCACCATCCAAAAAATAATTGATGACATAAGTGAAAAGATTGACACGTAATCCTTTTCTGAATCCCTCTGTCATAAACGCCTCATGTACATGTGGGCCAACATGGTGTGCAAGTACATGCGCTTCAGCCTTACCCGCAATACTTCTCAGCCACAACCCGAAGGAGTCCCAACCCAGTAGTTTGACCGCCAAGAAAATTGATGACTCCACCAAAGTCAGAATGTAGAACAGCCTCATCCCATACACGAAGTTGGCCACCTGCCCTGTACCCGACGACGGGAGGGGTTTGTAGGCTCCCGACTTGAGCCGAGAAAGGGAGAAACCAAATGATACAGCTGCACTACCCACTTGGAGCCCATGGAATATCAGATGTATGGACAGGTTCTTTATCATCTTTGACCCCTGCATCCTCCCACACCAAATGCCATAACCTACGAAAGCGCAGTAGTATGGCGTGGTAAGTATCCCTCCCCAGGTACTTCCCCGGAGCCGAGAGGCTATTAAGTAATCAAAATTCTTGCTGACTAGGAACACTCGCACACCCTCTGAAAGCAACAGACCAGAAATGAGCCTGAAATCGTACGACTTGAGCTGAGGGACATAACCCCCCAGCAGGACCACTGTGGCACCACGAACGCTATTTGCGCTAAATATGTTGCACCTTGCTCCAAGGCTGCCAATAGTAGAGCCACATATTTCACTTGCACTGACAGACTCACCAATCTCTGTGCTCTCCTCTTAAGATTTTGATGTTTTTCTGTGTTCCGATCTGAGCCCCCAACTTGTATTGCTGTATCATTCTCCATTGTAATTTCGGCTGCTCTACAGCTATGTACCAACGCAATTACAAGCAGGGATTTGGGAAGCTGTCGCAGTATCGTAAGAAATATAGCACATGAAAGCACGATTCCGTTGAGTATGAGGCAATGCAAGCAAAGCACAATGTAACAGCACAGTGGAGTTTTGAGGGGTAAAAACAACAAAATGTTTCGTGGCAGCTTATTTTACAAGGTTGCTGCTCAGCAATAGATCCTTCACTAGTTTGAAATCTAGGCAAAGGAGATTCAAGGCTCAAAAGACTAGTTTGAAATGCAGGCAAAGGAGATTCAAAACTCAGATCATCAACTATGTGTAATGAAAAGATCAATTATGTTTACTAATACCATATAGATACCAACATAGTCTTCGCAAAGACTGTTTGCTGTGTAGTTTCCAAGCCTTTATGGCATACCATCTTCTCTGGTTGACTGCTAACGTTTCCAGAGGAGTTTGAAACCATTGAGAAGCTCTTCGAGTTCTCAAATATTTGGAGCACTAAAGGTACGACAATTGTGACAATCTCGCTTGAGAATGATTTCGTAAATCACACCGCTGTAAATGCCATCACCTGGGCTGGTTCTCGACTCTTCCACCTCGCGCAACTCCAGGTTGTGCTCAGATGCCTCGTTAAAGAATGCTCGATCAGTGCTGAAAAAAAGAAACAAAAGATTCAAGAAAACACAAAAAGAGAAGCGAAGTGACCTTTGTATGCGAGAGATGTAAGCAAGAAAAAACTTGCGGCAGTGGTGATGTTGCAAAAGCTTGTTGACAGTCCTGAGTAGCGGAGGAATGTTGCATTGCTGGTAACGTGATAGGATCTGTTCAAGGAGAAACTTGGAGTAAAAAAGCTTCCATCAAAAGGATATAAATGTCGGCCCCAAGGATGTAGTCAAATCCCTCAGGATGCTTGTCAAGGATGAGAAAGAGCTGTTCTTCATTTCCCCACTCAAGCTTTTCACAGGCAATCCCTGCAATAAGGAAAAAAACAAACAAACAAACAAACAAACGAGATCTCTCATATATCAGTGAGAAAGAACTCACGCGATAGCAACGCCGTGTCCTGCTGAAGCGCCACGTTTTTCCGCATGATCTAGCAGCGATCCCCAAACTTGTTTTAAGAAACCATGCATGGAAATTCCTGCCTTTAAAACGATGTCATTGTGATCAGTCATGACGACTTTGCGGCAGCCAATCCTTCCACACAAAAGGCCAGTCACTCCTACAAACCATGAAAAAAAACAAGTGTTAGAAAAAAAAAAGGAGAGAGAAAGAAGAGAAAACCATGCGAAGAACTTCATACCAACACCAGAGCCCAGCTCAATGATCGAAGCTCCTTGAAAAATTTGGCTATGATCCACAATGTAATTGAGGAGAAGCTCGGTGCCAGGCCAGATTATCTGGCCAGTGAGGTCGTAATCCGCTGCGAGCTATCGCATTGAAAGAGAGGAACCGAGAGAGAAAGAACACACTCACTGGAAGAGCATTGTAGGCTGAGCACAGGAATGTCGTGATGGCCGATGGAAATGCGCTGCTCAACGTAGCTAGCAGTGGATGATAGAATCGATTAAATCCTAGTAGCTTACTTCTCGTCCAGGAACAGCGATCCAATACCTCCTCCATCGTCGTCCTCGTCCATCGCATGAGCCCTAAGAGAATAAGAATCTTACTCACAAAGATGCGCTAAAGCCCTAGGGGTTAGGGTTTATGAATGGCGGCAAGATTTGGATGCTCGCGCGGCTATCGCGCATTGCACAGGTACCCAGCCGCGCCAGATCGATCGCCATGCAGCCGGTAGCTCAGGAATCCACCGAGGATGAGGCGGACGATCTTGCCGCTTGCTCCAATGCGGGCGTCTGGAGCTACAGGGATTTCGCGCAGATGCTCCACTCTTCCTCCTCCTCTTCCAGTCATTCGATCGAGGCGGCGCTGGGCAGGCTACGCCGGGAAATCTCCACTGACGCCGTGGTGAAGATCTTCCAGTGCCTCAAGGACGCCGATCTCGCCTGGGAGCTCTTCCAGTGCCTCTCCTCCCCTCGATTCGGCTTCCAGCACAGCGTCCACACGGGGAACGCGCTCCTGGATGTGTTTGCCAGGACCAAGCGCCACAGGGAGGCCGGGAATCTCCTCAAGAACGAGCTCGCGACGATATTTCGGCCGGATGTGGAGACCTGGAACGTCCTCATCACCGGCTACTGCCTGGCTCGCGAGCCCGAGGAGGCATTCGCGGTGATGAGGGAGATGGAGGAGGATTTCGGCGTGGCGCCGTCGCTCAAGACCCACAATCTCGTCCTCCACGGCCTGTGCAAGTCGGGGAAGGTCCTCGCGGCGATGGATCACTTCGAGACGGTGAGGAGATTCATGCCGGTGAGCGCTGCGACGTTCTCGATCCTCATCAATGGCCTCGTCAAAGCAGGTATGCTGATCCAGGCTCACTCCCTCGCCCAGGAGACCACAACCAATGGCTGCACGATCGACATCCACACCTATACCACCATTGTAGACTGGCTCGCCAAGAACAAGAAGATCCAAGAGGCCGTGGCTCTGATGGAGAAGATCACTGCCAATGGGTGTACTCCCACCATCGCCACCTACAACGCTCTCCTCAATGGTCTTTGCAAGATGGGACGCCTCGAAGAAGCCATTGATCTCCTTCGCAAGATCGTCGACAATGGCTGCACGCCGGACGTGGTCACTTACACCTCGCTCATTGATGGCCTCGGCAAGAAGAAGCGATCCTTCGAAGCTTACAAGCTTTTCAAGGAGATGGCTTCGCGGGGACTGGCTCTCGACACCGTCTGCTACACTGCTCTCATCCGGGGACTCCTCCAGGCCGGGAAAATCCCGCAAGCTTCCTCGGTCTACAAGACAATGACGTCCCAAGGCTGCGTTCCAGACGTGGTAACACTCAGCACCATGATCGACGGCCTCTGCAAGGCCGGGAGGATTGGAGCGGCAGTCCGGATCTTCAAGTCGATGGAAGCTCGAGGCCTGGCTCCAAACGAGGTGGTGTACAGCGCTCTCATCCACGGCCTGTGCAAGGCCAGGAAGATGGACTGTGCGCTGGAGATGCTGGCCCAGATGAAGAAGGCGTTTTGCACCCCGGACACCATCACTTACAACATCCTCATCGACGGGCTTTGCAAGAGTGGCGACGTTGCGGCAGCACGGGCCTTCTTCGACGAGATGCTCGAGGCCGGATGCAAGCCCGACGTTTACACGTACAACATTCTCATATCGGGGTTCTGCAAGGCCGGGAACACCGACGCTGCCTGTGGAGTCTTCGACGACATGAGCTCTAGCCGCTGCTCGCCAAACGTTGTCACCTACGGGACTCTCATCTCCGGCCTCTGCAAGCGCCGCCAGCTGACCAAGGCCTCGCTATACTACCAGCACATGAAGGAGAGAGGCTGCCCTCCGGACAGCTTCGTCTACAGCAGCTTGGTGGACGGGCTCTGCAAGTCGGGGAAGCTCGAAGGCGGCTGCATGCTCTTTGACGAGATGGAGAGGAGCGGTGTTGCAAACAGCCAGACGCGGACCAGGCTGATCTTCCATCTCTGCAAAGCGAACCGGGTCGACGAGGCCGTGTCGCTTTTCAACGCCATCAGGAAGGAAGGAATGCCGCACCCTTACGCCTACAACTCGATCATCAGCGCTCTCATCAAGTCGGGCAAGGTGAACGAAGGACAGGCCGTGTACCAGGAGATGACTCGCTGGTGGAAGCCCGATCGCGTCACCTACAACGCACTGCTCAATGGGATGATCGGAGCAAACAGGATGGACAGAGCTCACTTTTATTACCTGGAGATGACCGGCAGGGGCTACGTTCCTCCCGTGTCCATACTTCACAAGCTCGCCGACGACCGACTCAAGGACATGCCGGCTCCTGCTTCGCGGCCTTGTTCTTCGTCTCGTTCTTGAGCAAGCTTGATACTCGGTGTTCTTGGCTGTGATGTCCCTCGGATGGATCCAGATAGTAGTACGTATACATTTTTGTAAATTACAAGCTTTAGCAAGAACTTATGTGCTTACCAGTAGCTGCGATGTTGCCAAGCCATTGCTATAGAGACAAACTCCAAGAGAACGCTAAGCTAGCTAGCTTTGGCTAGAAAGAAAAGGAAAGAATAATAGTCTTGCCTGAGGGAGAGAGAGAGAGAGAGAGACAGAGAGAGCTCACTTTCATTACCTGGAGATGGCCACCAAGAGCTTCTCTTCTCTGTTTCTCGAGCTGGCTAGATTTTTATTACACTTGGAGCACTCCTAAAGCAGCCGGGCACTGAAGTAGGCATTGACGAACACTACCGAGGCTGCAATGCTGATTGCTAGTAGCAATCCAGACGGTATGGGCTGTCGAGTTGCTGCCAGACGAATGCCTGTGTAGTAGATCTAGAATTTGTAAGTCCTTTCTAGCAAAGTGAGAGTGATTACCAAAAACTGCGATGAAAAGAAATGCCACGCCGAATCCTATGGCATTGGCGAGGTCTTTGGTGTCGGGGTTGAGCATCAAAAGATACGCCTGAAAGAAGATCCAAGGAGATAAGCGAGCTATAGATCATGAGCTAGCTATGGCTAGACAGATTTGCTTACCACCGCGAATGCGATGCCGCCAGTGAGGCCACCCACAAGAGATCCCTTGCTGCCAGTTCTCGAGTCTGCAAAGAAGAAAGAATTATATCCTTGCCAAATGCAAGAGCTCGCATTGCAAAGACTCACAGGCAAAGAATCCGCCACTGAGAAGCGTCAATCCATACGCCGCCGCCGTCGCTGGCGCAATCTCCTCCAGCCCCGCCCTGCATCGCAGCACATCGATCCTCCTCTTCCTGCCATTGCTTCTGCCAACGCGGAGATCTGTGACGCCTCCCACCCTCGCATTGCCAATCTTGAGGCTGCTCGAGCTCGCATTGCCGATCCTGCGCGGAGAAAGCCCGATCTTCACGTCGATTGCCCTAGACGGAGCTCTTAGCCCTAGAATCGCCTCCATAGCCAAACTCCCACGCGATGCTCGCTCCTTCGGACACAATGCACAAACATGTGGCAGTGACACGTGGCTTCGGCCGATTCAGCCGGCGCCCAGCTTAGGGCTGACGAAGTCCACGTGGCTTCTCGAGATTCGTCCAGCGGATGCGCGTAAAACCGCCAGAGGGGAGTTTAATGGCGCGCTAGAGCCCTGGATCTTCGCCACACGATCGAGGCGAGCTCCAGCTTCTCAAGCTCGATCCAAGCGCACAAGCTGGGAGATCATCGCCCGGTAGGGTATTTCGATGAGGTTTTGTGGATCCGGCCGCCGGCATTGATCCAAGAAGCTGGGATTTCCAGCGAGGAGACCGCTAGGGCAGATCGCCATGGACGAGTACGAGATCATGGAGAGGAACAAGGAGCTGCAAGCGCTCCAGGTGAAGCAAGAGGCAGTGCGAATGGAAAATACGCTACTCTCGGAACATCTATCGGTAAGTTCTTTCCAGATTCTAGCTTCGTTGTTCGTGAGTTTTTCCTCTCGTTTCCAGAGGATTGTGACACGCAAGGGGAGCTTGCAACTTCATCTGGAAAAGATGGAAGAAGAAGAAACTGAGAAGGAAGAACAGGAGGCAGCCGAGGCACTACGCCGGAGCTCGAGACGATCGTTCCGGATTTTTCACGATGGTCCTCCGGTGCCAAGAGCCACAGTACGATTCTTGTCGCCGCCAAAGATACCTTCGCTCTCGCCACCCAAGCAAAGAGCCGAGGCGCTTCCCATGAGCACCGAGGAGAAAGTTGAGATCGCTGACGAAGAATGCGGACATCTCACTGATCAAGTCGAGAAGTTGCGAGCGGAGAACGATCGCTGCCTCGATGATCTTGGTGCTGTTTACAATGAGGTGAAGCGAGGCATGAGGGAAACGAAGAAGGAGAAGAACAGCTTCTACAGGGAGGTGATTCTTTTGTCAGAGATCAATCCCGGAAAGGTGATCTATGCCGAAGATGTGTTGAGGTAATGCTTGTTCTTGGCTTTTCTTTGTCTGATGGAATGTGTTTTCTTCCTTTTTTTTCTTTCAGATATCTCTATGACAAGCTGCGAAGAAAGCAAAATGTGAGAGACAAATTGCAAGAGAAGAATGATTTGCTTCATATGGAGATCATGGAAGCCGAGCACCAGTTCAGCACGAAAAAGGATCTCAAGGACATCTTACATGCCATCGACTTCGATCAGCTTCAGATCCAAAACGTCCAGCTCCACGCCAGGATACGGGACAGGACTTACGAGATCTGGGACCTCAAGAGCGCGGTCAAGAGAACGCTCAAGGTACGAGTGAGAAAAATCTCTCTCGAAAAAAATCTCTAGACTGACACCAAACTCGGATGTCCTGAATTCCAAGGCTCTGGAGACAACACGGCGGAAGCTTGGTGGCATTGTGGATCGGGGGACAAACATCAAATGTTTCCTCAAAGATCGCCAGCCTTTGTTGGAAAGCTTACGAGACAACATCAGAACGGAGACCTTTCAAAAGGTATTCTAGCTCAAACTTATTCCATCCAAACTTATCCTTGGTGTTCTCTCTTCTCTTTCGTAGAGCAAGCTTCACGAATCCGTGGTAGCGCATATGCAAGAAGAAGATGGGCCTCCTCGTCCCACAGCTCTCGACTACATGCGTTGTAGACATAACAACGACGAGTTGTCCAAAGAGGTCAAGACTTGGAAGAACAAGGTGAGTGCTCTTCACTCTAGATTCTATCATCTTCACGCTTGATTTTGACCGATTTTTCCAGGTTGAGGTAGCGGAACTAACAAACATCCAGCTCCACAAAATGCTCAAACAAGCACTCAAGAATCGCGAAGTCTCGGTTCGGCAAGAAGCATCAACAGTGGTGGCGGTGTGCTAGCGAAAATTCTAACTTGTGCTAACAAAGTGTTGGCATCTTATTTTAATTGTGGAGGATATTCTAGCTAACAAGCATCCTATTTTAGGCGGAGAATATTCCCATCTTAGGGCTTATGTAGTAAAGAGGGAGGATGGAAGGCGGCAAAGTCGCGGTGCGCGATCCAGCGCTGCCGCGATGGTACTGTCAAATGTGCAAGCATCCATTTGTGATCTCTGGCGCGGATGCCTACGCGGAGCGAGTCTCAGGTTAGGGCTGCTGGGTTGTCGATGGATGCATTCCAAGCTCTGCTTTGTTGCAGCTGCCGGCAGTGGGAGCGTCCTAGCTGCGAGCAGAATGGATCAATCGTTCGTGCTCTTGCCGAAGCACAAAGCCGGCTATCCTCCTCCAAGGCCGCGAGGGGCGATGAATTATCCAACTCCTGGTTATTATCCAACCCCAGGTTTGTCTTTTCAGCTCTTGGATCCTCTCTAGCAATCAAAATCGGATTTTGCAGCTGCTGAGAGCCACCATGGCGGAAGAACAATGGAAGAGTCCTTTGTTGTGTTGCCTTCCGCAGCAGCATCCATGTATAGGAACGATTTGTCTGGCGAAGGCCAGGCTGGAAGCAGTGGAAATTCCAGTGGCGGAGGAGCACAGCCACAGACAAGTAACGCTAGCTTCAATGCTAGTGTGAATGTCTTGACGAGGGTCTTCGAGATTGCTTCGGCACAAACTCAGGTTTGTGATGTCTACATCTCTATAGTCTGGATGGGTTTTCTTACATAGTTCTTTCTGTTCTTAGGTGGATCAACCCCTGTGCCTCGAATGCATGCGTGTTTTGTCTGACGAGATGGAAAAACAAATTGAAGAGGTTACCAAGGACATAAAAGAATACGAGTCTTGTCTTGATAGATTCGAGAAGGAGCAACGGACTTCAGTGAGCGAGGAGGAGTTTACGGTAAAGAGCATACTTGCATGACGATCGAAGTTTACTAAGTTTATTGTGCTTTTCTTTTCCAGGTTGAAGAAGAAAGAAAGCTTGAAGCGACGATTGAGCAGCTTGAGCGACAAAATCTGGAGGTGAAGTTGCAACTGGAAGACTATGAGCGCAAGTTTAAAGATCTCGATGAATTGGAACAAAGGTAGGCCTGTTTTTTGTCGGAATGATCTCTTCTTTCTGATAAACCTCATCCAGATTCTGGCACGACTTCAACAACTTTAAACTTCGGCTCACTGTTCATCAGGTAAAGATAAACTTGAAACGTTTGTTTCGTATTTATTCTTGCTTACAGGAGGAGAGAGACGCCGTCTTGGCAAAGATTGACGTTGCAGGTGCACAATTGACTGCGCTAAAAGCTGCAAACGTTCTGAACGAGGCGTTTTACATTTGTCACGACGGTGATTTTGGAACTATTAACAATTTCCGGCTTGGTCGCCTTCCAAATGTTCATGTAAGACCATATTTTTCTGTTTCTTGTTTTGTGAGATTGTCCCTGTATCAGGTGGAATGGGATGAGATCAATGCCGCCTGGGGACAGGCGTGTCTATTGTTGCACACTATGGCACAATATTGCCAACTCAATTTTACGTATGTAGACTTCTTTTTCCTTTTCTTTCTTTTGAATTGTGTTGCTGCTTGCAGGTATAGATTGATACCCATGGGAAGTTATGCCTGTATTGCTGATAGCAAAAACACATACGAGCTGTGAGTTTTCACTTTCGTGTTTTGTGAGTAACTTATACTCTCTTGTGGCAGCTACGGTCCAGTAAATCTGTTTTGGAGCACGCACTTTGACAAAGCAATGGTTTATTTCCTCGCATGTCTCAAAGAGTTTGCCGATTTTGCAAATGCCAAGGACCGGGCTGCTAGAGTGGCTCCAGGCAAATGCTTCACGCTACCTTACTTGTAAGTCCTTCGTATCAACAGCGCTTTTCTGATCTTGGCATGTTTTGAAGGATTGAGAATGACAAGGTGGAAGGATTTGCAATCACTCAAAGCTTCAACCGACCAGAGAAGTGGACAAAGGCTCTCAAATTTATGCTGTGTAATCTGAAATGGTCATTGTATTGGCTTATAGGGAACACACTATTTCAACCAACGTCCCCTGTTAGTTCCTCCCTCACAATCAGTACATAAGGCGAAAACTACAGATGTATATAAAATCAGGACAATATATAACATTCCTTCCAACCTTTTCATTTTGAAAATAAGTACTATCCTACCTCATTTAGGGTTCATACTCAGTGTTCATGGCTCAACTTGGCGAACAGCGCGTTGGCGATCGAGGCAAGCCGACTTTGATCCTTGATCTCGATGGGACTTTGATAGCTACTTCGAGGCAAGCTAGCTTACATGCGTGTTTCGACTTCGTGGTGGAGTTTGATTCCGAGGAGCAGCCCGTTTGGGTGTCCAAGCGACCAGGGCTGGAGGATTTCCTTCGGCAAGCCTCAGAGATTTACGAGGTGGTGGTGTTTAGCCTCGGAAGGAAATCCTATGTGGAGAAGATGAGGGAGGCGATTGATCCCAGTGGATTATTTGTGGCAACATGGCTTGCTCGGGACTCTTGCAGCGGGAGCTCGGAGATCAAGGACTACAAGGACTTGAACAGTCCAAAGCTTGGGAGGGAGTTGCGGAAGGTGGTGTGGGTGGACGATTTCCGGGACTCGTTCAAGATGAATCTCGAGAGCGGGATCGTGGTGCCCATGTTTCGGAACAGCAGCAGGGATGACGATCGCGTCTTGTTTGATTTGCTGCCGCTGCTCAAGAGAATTGCCGGCGAGGATGATTTGAGGCCTGCTCTGCTCGCGTTGCCCCTGCCAACGCTAGAATCCAACCTTGCAAAGGCGATCAGTCGCCCAAAGCTTACAAGTTAAAAGGATGAATCTCGTGATTTAGCTAAGTGATCTTCGAGAATACTTTATAATAGTTTATTGAATAAATGAAGGTTTCACAGTTCATTGCCTGCATAGATAGGATGTTAAATCATGAGATTTCATCTTAAACAACTCTTCGAATGTCAATTTGGAGCTGGATTCTATATATCAACGAGATGACATATTACTCCAAAACATGAGACAAAATATCATTAGGATGTGCGTGCTTCTCTTCCAGCTTAAATCGATAGACAAGTTTAATAGTTACTATGACGCTTAGTAGTATTTCTTCTATGGGGCATTTCATTCAAAGTTGAAAGCTTGCAACAATCTATCAGAAGGACGAACATGTTTCTGGCATGCTCGCAAATGGCACACGTCGAGGAGATGAGGAGGATCTTCGATGGTATGCCGGAGCGCCACCTGGTGCCGTGGAATGCGATGCTTACTTGCTACACGCAGGGCGAGGAGACGACCACCACTTTTTTATGACATGAATATGATGAATGAACAACAGAATATTGGTGATTCATGCATGGTAACTTGTAGAATTGGATCCACACTAGTATACAAGATGAAAGCTTTAACACAATTGGAACTACTATCAGCCAAGAGATTCAGGTTGCACTGCCCCCCTCAAAACTGTGGGAGATCCACAGATGCTTGTCAAAGCTTCCAATCGCGTGGTAAGTGTTGAGAATGTTGCGATTGTTGGAAACACCAAATACTATAGGTATGCTGGTATATGTACCAATACGTATATTGGTAAACAATATATCAATGCTTCAACCGTGGACAAAGGCTCTAAAATCTATACTGAAATGGTCACCGTATTGGCTTATAGGGAGGAAAATCACGTCCCCTGTTAGTTCCTCCCTCACAATCAGTGGATAAGGCGATTGTTGGAAACAACAAACTCCATCATCTAGACGTTTGGGTGGGAGACATTGGAGATCTTCCTCACGATGGGCCGAGATGCTAGATCCTGGAACGCATTGATCGCTGCCAGGGAAACGGTTTGGAGAGCGTGAACAAGCACTTTCTAGTTAAAGTGAGATTTGTCATTATCTCACGTTTTTTAGTAAAGAAGATAAGGTAACAAGAAAAAAAGTGAAGTTTCTCATGTGATTTTTCACATTAATGTATTATAACATGGTCAATGAAATAAATAAATAAAAAAAGTTAATGCAGATATTAAATGAATGAACTATATAAACACATATTAACGAGAGAATCCCACTTTAATGAAAAGGAGCTTGCACCGTAAGTTCACAAATGAGGGATCTTTGATGGTATGCTGGCGTTGTGGAACGAGATGCTCACTTGCTACACTCGGAAGGAGGAGATTTTTAACTGAAGGTCGTGACATGAAGAATGAACAACAATAGAATAGCAGGGTTGACAATCTAGACTAGTATAAAAAATGAAAGCTTAGTAGCAAACTTAGACACAATGGGAGCTCCATCGCCTATCAGCCGAGAGATTCAGGTTGCACTCCCCCCCTCAAAACTGTGGGAGGCTCTCAAGGATCCACAGATGCTTGTCAAAGCTTCCAATCAGGCCGTGGTGAGCATTGAAAATGTTGATGGCGATGCTGCCACCGTTGGAAACACTAGGATGGTCAAGTTCAATACTGGTGCGTGATATTTCTGGGAGAGATCTTTGTTTGTTTGATCTTCATCTTTCTTCTCTTTGGTGTTCTTGGAACTTCATCTACAGATCTTGTTCCTTATCCATTCATAAAAGAGGAGCTGACTATGATCGATGAATCCACTCATACTATTGGGGTGAGCGTGATCGAAGGGGGACTGGTTGGCACGCAAGTGAGTTCTCTCAAATGGAAACTGACGCTCAAGCCTGAAGGAGAAGGAAGCCTGCTTCTGTGGTCCCTCGATTACGAACCCAAAGTTCCAGGCACGGAGGAAGTTGACAAGTTTGCCGATGGCTTCGTTGCTAGCATCAAGCAAGTCGAGGCCTACGTCCTCTCACTATAGTTCCAGAAACTCTGGATCTGAGCTGTGTGTGCTTGTGTTCTTGAAGCTATAAACTTGGAAATGCCAAGAACTTGACTGCTGTGATTTCTTAGAGTGCTTTGCAATCTAAGCAACAACAGGGAGTAGAAAAATTAAAAGTGTACCTGCGCATCATAGAAAACTTCCGTGTCACCATGCCGGCTTGGGTTTTGGGATCTCCCAGCACCGCCACCACGGCGGCCTCGTCTTGGATAAGCAACACCACGGCCACGTCCAGAAGCTCGATCCTGTGCTTGTCCTCTCCCTGCATAGAGTTTCTGTTAGCCGAGCAAGGAAAGCAAAGTTCGAACCTGAGGGAGCAGGAGGTGCTCTATAGATATTCATAATGTCATTCAGCACAATGTCACAGCCACCCACGCAACCTGCAAGAGATTGTTAATTTAGCAGCATGGGGTTTCCTGAAAATCAGCTTTCACCTGTGTGATAAATGCTGTATTGTGGTGGTATCTCTGCTCTCTTGAACTTGAAGTCAATTTTGTAAACTGGAGCTGGAATGCACGAGTTGCAAGTGTGTGTAGTGACTGTCGCTTCCATGACGACGGAGGGTAGCCACACGACATTTTTACACTGAAAAGAAAAGCACCATTTTACAAAAGTAAAAAGCCAAGCAAGCAGCATACCTGTGGAAAGTTGCGACAACCAACCATAAACTTGCTATCCTGGTGTAACAAAGTCAGTAGTGGCCTACAAGCAAACGGGATGAAGAGGAAAAACTCACTGGTCTTCTCTTTAAAACCATGTCCGCTTCACGACACATTGGGCACCTTCGAACGATTCCACCGACTTGCACCGCTTCAGGGACTTGATTTTGGCTTCTGTTGGAGCGATCCAAGTAAAAACTAATGCCAAAGAACGCATGCTTACCTCTCAAAGAAAAGACCCATTGCCTCTATAAGCTTTTGTTGCTGAACTCTAGCCTGGAAAAAATAAGAAAAATAAGAAAATAAAGCAGCAGCTGAAAAGCTTTAAAACCTACATCGAGAAAGCACGTCTTCATTTGCTGCAGGCATGTCTCCAGGACATTCTCCTTCACCTTTATTCCGTCGCCCACGGCCTTCATGTCTCTCTCCATTATAGATCTGAGATGGGGCTTCCAAAGCTCGTACCTGAAACAAAACTTCTAGAATGTCTCTCATCTTGGAATTGAATATAAAGAAACTAGAAATATGAAAACCAACCCCATCGTGTCATATCCCATAACCAGTGCCTCGCCCTGTAAGATAATCTCAACTTAGTTGAAAGCACTTTTCCTGGTTGTGCCGCGTACCAAGTTTGTGGGACAAAAGCGTGTCTGCGCATCTTTGGTAGCGTAGCGCCGGTCCAGCAGCTTTTTTATGTGATCATGCATAGTAGCATCCGTTCCAATTCCCTCCTGGCCGCACAGAGAATTCAGGTCTTGAAAATGCTGGAACTAAGAAACCACCTTGTCCATGAGCGCGATTAAATCCGCTTCTGACAAAAGGGGTGGGGGTTGCGTTCTGCCAGCATCCAGCGTAAGCCTGGTTGGAATGAACTGCGAAGCAACACACGCAAAGTAAGAAAATACTCGCAGTCTGAAAATGTGTACCTGTTGTCCAAGGTCAAAGTTTGGAAGAGTTGAAGCAGCCCAGTTTTCGTATCTATAAACTTCCAAGTAATTTCTCTGAGATGAAAACGAGCAACACGGTCTCAATTCCTAGAAACAACGAGAAAGTTTACTTACAGCAGTCACCATGAGTCCATTAGCAGAGAACTGTTCCCCAGCAATGTCAATCATGGCTTTTGTTGCGTATCCTACAGCCGGCTGCGAGACACACGCAAGAAAGTGTCGCACAACAAGCTCATATACTGCCTGCAAAGAAAACAAAATACAGAAATCAAAGTGACATTAATAAAAAAAGCTACCTTGTGATCGTTCCTCCATTGTGGTTCTCCATCCGAAAACCTGGTAGGATGTATAGGCGGATGAGCTTTATCGTCGTGTCCACCATTGCTCGGATGTCTCCACAAATTCTCTCGAGAGTCAAGAAGGCGATGGGCATAATTTCCCCACACAGGATGCCTGGTCTGCTCCTCTACCATGCGCTGCGTAGACAACATTATATCAGCTCAAAGAGACTAGGAACCGATGCAACACAAACTCGAAGATCAGTATTCTCCGAAAAGTAATCTGTCTCAGTCCGGGGATAGCTGATGAATCCTTGCTGGTAGAGCTCTTCAGCAGCCTGCAAGTTCAAAGGTTGGCGATTGATAAACACAATCCAACAATACCTTCATTGTCTCCTGGGACCCAAGGCGTAGAAACCGTGAAGCGCGCTTCACCAGCTCAACAGTATTCAGTGGATGCGGTGGATTTTTACGTGTCTCACGTCCAGTAACAGAGAAAACCTGAAAGAGAAGGTTTGAAGGCTTTCGAGCATGCTGGAAGGAAGATAAATTAACCGTAGCAAGAGGCTCTTCCACGCACATTTCATATATGGCGACGGCGGCTACATAGTCGAAAAGATGGCCACGCCTGCGAAACATACAAACTCAGCAAGCCTGGGATTAAAAAAAATCATGACTTACGCCCATTTGAAGGAAGCACTGTCGTTCTCCGACCTGTACACGCAGTTTATGGTCCAAAAATCTTCAGGCTGGTGTGCTTGAACTTGCCAATATCTTTCAACGACAAAGCCTAGAGTTGGAAACTAGCGCAAAAGTATGTTGGCTATTGGACTGGAGATTATCATTTATCTCGTTACCTGGCACGGACCATAGCTAAGAATGGCCTTCTCATGCTCGTCAAATGGAAGAACAAAGCGATCTTTCAAGAGCATTGTCTGAAAGCGAGTGAAGGAAGCACCTATACGTAGATCGATCTCCTAAGCATCGGCACGGCTTTCTTTTAGAACTAAAAACGATAAAGGAAGTTTAAAGCTTAGAGAAAAACCTGGCGCGCGTCCACAGCATCCGAAAGATTGCGATTTGGCCGGTGCAAATTCTGTG